CCCAATGCAATGCCGCAGCTTCTCTCAAGCCAATAGGATCAGGCCCTCAACATGGAACGTGATTTGACGAATGATGAGTTTGAGGCTTTAAATAGAAGGCGAGCGCAACAAGGCAAGGATCCACTGAGCTGGCGGGATGCACAGCGCCAGGCCCGGCGTAAGCCGAACCACAACAGAGGAGGTAAGAAGGCCAAGGCAGCTCCGTCCTCACAGCCTGTCACTTTCCTGCCGAGAGCGGAGGTTTCCTCCGTGGAGGTTTCCTCCGAAAGAGCTCCTGAACAAGCTGAATCCATTTCCTTTCTGGTTCCTGAATTTGATCAGAGGGCCAGTGGGCAGGCATCAGACTGGAACACCAGCACTCATGTTCAGAGCCGCTATGCATGGAACAAGCGTCACAAGGAGCGTGAACAGTTGGATCCGACTAAGGATGTCATGGAGGAGGCCAAAATTTTTATCCGCACATTTCTGAGAACGCGTAAAGGTCCGAGCAACTCCGATTTGACTGCAAAGTTGGGAGACCCTGTCATGCAGGAAGGCTGGGTGCGCTTCCCCCTAAGAGATGTTGTTCAGAGACGCACTGGCACGGATGACAGAGTGGGCTATCATGGGACAAAATTGGAATCGGTCTACTCGATCCTGTATCTGGGAAAGTTGCAACCGTCCCAGGATGCCTCTCAAGGTGAACAATACTTTGAGGGCTACCCGGGAGTCTACATCCATTCCGGCAAGCATGAGCGCAAGGCAGAGTCATATGTGACGCATGTATGGTTTCCCATCTTGAAAGAAGGCAACAAGTCTCTCCGAGCAGTTGCGGCCAAATTCGCAGTGTCGTTCGACCAGGCTGCAGGATCTCTCCGTGGCTCCAAAGCAACGGATCAGTATATTCTCAGGGAAGACTATGTCCAGCTCGAGGCGATGCTGCTTCACATCACAGACTCACTGCCTTTGGGGACCTATGTGCAGACTGGCTGGAACCCCCTTGCGGAAGCTGCCCCAGTACAACGCATAGCGAGGGAAAGACCGGAGGAGCCGAGTTCATACAGAAATCCACCAAGATCCTCCTCTCAACCTGCCAAGGAGTCAGCCTCTCACGATGATGATAACTCCACCCGGCAGCTCGCAGTTCCTCCTTGGAGAGTGAACAAGGCAATGGACTCTGATCACAGTGCTCTGCCGACCTCCTTGCATCAGCCCGAAGATGATAGCGATGAATCCTGGGGGGTTTGGTCACCAGCCGCTGCTGCCGCAGGCACAGATCCACAGAATCCATTTCATCAGGAAGTCCCACAGCAGCCAGAGGGAAGCAGAAGAGAGCATGCCTGGCAGCCAACAACTCAGCACACACCAAGTTTAGCAGATCTGGATGGTACTCTTGATCGGCTTTCTGGACGGGGCGCTCACGAAACCAGACGAGTGATGATAGGCAAGCTCCTCACACAGGCTCTCAGACATGACCCAGCGAAGTATGGCATTTCGCTAGACGCTGCTGGCTATGCCAACTTGAAAAGCCTTCTAAATTCCAGGCAATTTTGGCGGGCTGAAGTGACGGTTCATGAAGTACAGCGCGTACTGGAAACCTCACAGAAGGTCCGCATGGAGCAGATGACCTCAGAGGAAGACGGAGAAATCTACATCAGAGCCTTACAGGGTCATGGCCATGACATTCCACTGGACGACGATCAACTGCATGAGGTTCTGACCTCCTCCACAACACCGGAGTGGGGTGTCCACGGGACGAGCTGGCGGGCCTGGCAGCAGATTCGCTCCTCTCAGCTGCGCAGAATGCAAAGACGTGACATACATATGTCTTTGTCACCAACCAAAACTGCAGGATTCAGGGAGGACTCTTCCGTGGAGATCTGGATTCACCTGCCGTCTTTGATCGACAGTGGACACAGAGTGCGTCGGGCGAAGAATGGAGTACTGCTTACGCGTGGACCCATTGACCTGTCCCACATCAGCACTGTCATTGATCGGCACACAGGCAAGTCTCTGCCCTTCTAAAGCGTTCTCAGCAGTTTCACCTGAACCGAATTCGTTCTGCCGTGGTCTACTTTCGCAGCGGGAGGCTTCCTCCGGAGGATTCCTCCACTTCATTTTAAAGTAGACAGCAAGTACGCCCTCTGCTTAAGGCAACAAAGACTTTGTCACAGCCTGCACGAGTTGTCTCTATTTGCATGTTCTAAGAGGAGTTTCCCCATCCTCCATCTGCTCATTGCCCAGGTGAGCCTAGCGTCGCGCAGCCCACAAGCAGTGGCAGGCGCTTCCTTCTTTAGTCCTTGTTCTTGAGCCGTGCAGCTTTCAGCTAAAGCTCTTGCATGCCTGTTAGCAATGGTCAATGCCCGCCCGCCACAAGAAACCCGCCACAAGAAACCGCCTCACTCTTCCGATCGCAGTAGCCATTCTAATCTCGAATCCAGCCATCAACACTCGAGTTTCCAATGGAGAGCACTAGCCTGGTGCAAGCGCTCACTCCGCTCCTGGTTGCTCTCGTGCACCAGCAGGTAGTTGCGGAGGACCCGAGTATTTCCTCTGAGACTACCAGCGCAAGGGTTGCGGAGTACCTCCACACTCACAAGGTGAAAATCCTTGCCCAGTTCATGAACTACGCACATGAGGTGCTCCAAGGAGAGAGGTTGAGGACACTGCATTGGGCAGCACAGTCACTGACCGGATATGATGAATGGCGTGAAGTTAAGGCGGCCCGACGCCAAAAGTTGCGGAGCATCAGCCTCCGTTACTTAAGCCAGATGAGGTTCACCGGGCTTCCCACCACTCAAGGAACGTGGTACTACATCGTGATCCTCACCGAACTTGAGAGCTTCTATCGGGAGACGCAAATTCTCCGGTATACGTCAGGTATGCTGCCCCCGAATCTTGACGCTCAGTACCAACAAGAGGTTGGGCAGGTCCGTGATGAGTTCTTTGCCGAGGATGCGGAGATGAACATAGCGATCGCACAGTGGACCACCATTTCGGCAGGTCTCACAGCATGAGTGGGGGCTACCTCCGGAGGCTTCCTCCCCTTCCTGCACCTCGCCGATTCCCTGTACACTTTTCAACACATAAATCGGCCCTTTTGAAGGTGCGGCTCTCAGCCTGACTAGCCATGCATTAGTATGGCAGAACTCCATTAGCACAAAGGTTGATAATAGTGTCTCTTTCCTTCTTTCACTTGGAGGTTTCCTCCCATTTTGCTTGCATCTTTCATCTTCTTGAGACCTTCTTTATACATTCAAGTGCAATGGAGCTTCTCCAGCAAGGGATTGCAATATCACTTGTCTAGCCTTGCAACAAAAGCAGATGGCTTTTTGAGACCATCAGCGGCTACGAGGAAGAAATCATGCCTGAGACTGTTTTGCACAATGGGGATCCCACCCTCCTACCCCATGCGGAGCACACCGCTCGTGACGCAGGCTGCATTTGGCTGACGTCAACCGATGCTCTGTACAATCAGGCAGGGAGTGATCTCCAGATAGCATTGTTTGCAGCTAATCATCTCGTTGGCACCAGCGTGCATGCTCACACTTGATGGAACTCTCAGTTGTGGGCAGCTTGCGCTTCAGGCAAACTACATTTATAAATTCTTTATCTCAGTCAGCAAGCTGGCAATCTTGATCTACTTTAGTTTGCATGCACTTTTGTTTCTATCTCTTTTTAATCTTTCCGTTTTCTTGAACCTTTTTGATTCATTGCATCAGATTAGGAGGTTTCCTCCTGCATATCCTTAACCCCACTTCTTCTCGCCCAGGTGTGAAATTTGCCTTGTCGCAGCGCTGGCCCCAGCAGCCGCGCAAGGCGTCCCAGGTCAGGCTTCGCAAACCCAGCTTCCCTGCATCCAATTTGGGCAACCTTCTTGGAACGTGCAAGGCCGCTTGGTGCGCTCTGCCTACGGCCCTCTGCCAGTTGTTTAGCGTTACCTGTGTGAGACGTCACTAGACGGGAACGCTGAGTGTCGGCCTCACAAGAGGTACGGCTCGCTAAACAGCTAGTGCGTGGGTGCTGGACGCAGTGACTCACAGTAGGGTGTCGGGGTAGCCGCGCTTATTTTTCACTCTTTTGCAGTGCTGAGTACTTGATATCGGAGGCTGCCTCCGTGCCAACTTCAATTTCTTCTTTGATTCATTGCATCAGATTAGGAGGTTTCCTCCTGAATATCCTTAAGTACTCTGCCAAAGCAGATTAAGTATAGCAGGTAGTGAGACCTGGCAATCTGGAGGAAGCGATCCTCTCGAAGTCCAAGAGGCCGGACTGTGAAATCAAAAAGGCGGGTGAGACCTTCTATATCACACTTGCCCGCCTTAATCACACCAAACTCAGCTAGCGCACAGCTATAGCCTGCAACACAACATCGGGGCCAGCCGGCACTGCAGCAGTCGCGGGTGCAGGCGAGCCAGTAGGAAGCGGTCGTAGGGTGCCCAGCCAGCACAGCGCTATCGCAGCCCCGAGGGGCGGATGCATTCCACATACTCGAACATAGCTGTGCACAACAATCCTTTCAGCAGCCCTGAGGGGCGTGAAGTACGAACTAGCAAAGACTGCTGGAGCTCCCAAGGCGGATACAGAGTAGCCGACGTGCCGAGGATCCAAAGTGATCAGAGGTCCACATGCTGATTCTGGCAGTGAGTGCAATGCAATGAACTTGAAGACTCCGGGAGTCTGCCACGCTGAATCGCTTCAAAGTGGCATCCTAGAAGGAACACTCATCCTAAACCGCCAGAACCTTCTAACTTCTAGCCCGGGCCAGCCATAGTCCAGAGCGGCAGGCAGGAAATTTCTTGCATCCTACGAGCCGCACGCTCCAGTTTCCACAATCAGCGGTTTCCGATTCCGCGCGTTCCAGTTTCCTGAATCAGCGGGCTTCCCGAGACGTGGTTTCCCCGAATCCACGCTTTCGGCTACCGAATCCGCGTTTTCCAGTTTCCAGAATCAGGTTTTTCCAGTTTCCGAATCCGTGAGTTTTCAGTTTCCGAATCTCCTTCGGACCGACATTTTCTGAGGTTTACAACACAGAGGCCGAGAACATCAGAGAGGCCAGATGCTTGTATGTAGTGGCTTAGCCAGAGAGAAGGAACCTACTTAGCATGCGGCCAAAGGTCGTGATCGTTCCATCAACACAGTGGGGTGGTTCCCCACTGAGAATCCTTTACGTGCTCTCGTGATCCATGCTGCAGTATGCTGCATGTGAGTGTCAAAGGTGATGGGGCCATTGGTGCGGACATCAGGACAGGTCTCCTTCATCGGATTCCTGCGCCAAGGTGCAGCCAGCTGGATGTGACCTCCGGTTCGCTTACAAGTTTCTAATCCTGCAATGACCTTAGCGCTCCTGTCAGATTTTTTGTCTCTACATCATTTTATCTAGTCTAATCGCTGCAAAGCGGTCTTCAGCGATACGCTTGTATGATCTCGAATCATCATTCAAGTCGTCAAAATTGGTTCGTGTCTATATAAGCTGCCCTCTCCCTTCAAACTTGGCTTTGCCACAGAACGTGCAGACGAAGAGACACAACCCAAAACCCGTCAAGGTTGAGATGCGGCTGGGTGGGTTGGGGGGGAGGGGTGGAGCGAGAGCTGCACATTAGCGCGCGCCACAGCACACATCTGAGCGGCGGTGCACGCGGAACATCTAGCAAACTCTCAACCCATAATCCTAACCCTCAACATGAAACCCGACTTGTAAACCCCGTGACCCCTAAAAGACCCTTGGCAACCATGAACCTGATACCCTAAGCCCTAGTCCCGCAACCTGGAAAGCCTGCTGCAGACGCCTCATACCTGAATTCCTACTTGTCAACTCTTAAGCCCCTCAAGATCCCTTACCTAGTCCCGAAACCCTAAACTCTGCCGTTCCTTTCAATGCTCAACCTCCTAAGCCCTCAACCCTAAACCCTCAACGTTAAACCCTAATCCTCAGCCTGAAAGCTTAGCCCCTAAACCTGAAACCTTAAACCCTAATCCCGTAACCCTTATGCCCTCACTCAACTCTACTGTCAAAGTAAACCTGAAACGCTACCAACCTAGAGTCAGGATTTTGAGTCAGATTTCAAAGTTCGTCAGAGTTTAGGGTCAAAGTTTGCGGTCAGAGCTTACAGTCAACGTCTGCAGTCAAAGTTTGGGGTCAGAGTTTGGAATCAAAGTCCTGGGCGGCTCCCCACGCAAAACCTCAAAGCACCGTCCTTTAAAAGTTTGTGTCTGCATTTAGCTCAGGGGCGAAAGCTAGGAATCAGAGTTTAGGCTTGCAGTTCATTAGGCTTTGAACATAAAATTTGGGTTTTCGCCGCCTGCCAAAAGCTTATGAGCTGGGTGGTCTGGGGTGGGGTGGTTCTGCGTGTTCTAACCCAAGGAATGCACCCTGAAGACGAAAGGTAGCTCCTTGGAGCTGGCCGCCCTTTACAACCCTTTCTCTCCAGTGTTCCGGTGGGCCTAGCTGGCCTGAACATTTGTTAGTCAATGGAAACCTTTTCGGACCCCCCCCCCTCCCCCACCCCCCCCCCCCGTGCCTTGGACGCTTAACGTCTATTGTGCACGCGCCCTTTTTTTTCGGATTCTCCCCCCGCAAGCCTCTCTAAAAATTGGGTTCTCGTTTGGTGCTTCAATGCGGAAGGCGTTCTATCGGATCGCTTTCTGGCGAAAGAGGCCACGAAGAGGAGACGGCCAAGCGGAGGGTCAGACGGAATGACCACGGAGAGGACACGGTCAAGGGAGGGGGGCTCGGAACATTCTGCTGGGAGAGGGGCATGGCGTGGGGAAGCGTGGACCATGCATGGATGTGACAAGACGGGGGGAGGCGCGCGATCTATCCGGTTGAAGGGGTACCTTCCGCGCCCTCCGCGAACCTCCGCGCCCTCCGCGCCCTCCGCGCCCTCCGCGCCCTCCGCGCCCTCCCCGCGCTCCGTCAATGTGCGTTGCGTCTATTCTGCGGGTGTTTCCTTTGTAAAGTATTTGTTTGCAAGGCACGCGCGTGCAGCATAGCCTTTAAACTTTAAGTGTCCATCTTACCCCCCACCCCCCCCCCTTTGAGGCACGCTTTTCGTTGAACAATCGTTTTGATAGTCGGCGGACATTCTTCGCCGCGCGATTTCTTGACGTTTCGTACTGCGGCTCTGGAATTAGGGTTTACAGCTCCAAACTAGACGAGGACATCAGCCTGTGTCCGGGGTATTTTCGGCGGCTTCTTCCAAAGATCAGCTTTTGCGGCGGTTCCCGGTGTAAAGCAACCCCCCAAGTCGTGGACGACCAGCTTCCTTGAATCGTGCGAAGAAACTGGCTTTCGTACGTCCAACATGCCTGAGGGTGGAGGAGGACCCCTGGGAGACCAATGGAGTGCAGGGTGGTCCTTCTTGGATTTTTTGGTTTTCTGGGGGGGGGGGGGTGTTTTAAGTCATTGGTTGGTAAAACCAAAAACCATAGTTTCATATGTACTTGACAAAAAGCGTGTATTCTTCAAAAGCTCCGAGAAAACAAATAGCTAATAATAAACAAACGGCCTTCTCGGCGCCGCTGCTTTGTTTTTTGGTTTTACGAATTGTTGGGTGTGCTTTGGTTTTGGTCGTTTTGGGTTGGGAGGGGTGGCGGAGAGGTGAGGACTATGCGCCCAAACTCAAAAACAAATTATTTTACTTCGAACATCCCCACCCTCTCTTGGTAGAGATACTCTAGGGTTTGGCAACACTCGGGGGTTGGGCACTCTAGGCAGATTCTGGGGTTGGGCACTCGAGGGAGACTCGTTGCACTCCAGGACGCTCTGGGGCTGGGCACTCCCGGGGTCATCTAAGTTGGGCACTCTAGGGAGACTCTGGGGTTGGGCACTCCAGAGAGATTCTGGGGACGGTTGCGGAATTCGGGTCTAGGGCTTCAGGTTCATGGTTGTGATGCACTTCGGGTTTCGAGCTTAAGGTCTAGGGGCTTAGGCACTTACAAGTAGAGTGTCAGACTTGGAACTTACTACGGGTTCCAGCCTAGGGTTGCGTGGTACTTAGGGTTAGGGTTTAGGGGCTAAGGGGCTTGTCGGGGTTTGAGTTTACAGGCAGGGTTTTAGGTTTAGGATTAGTGGGGGTTTAGCGTTTAAGGTTTCAGGCTTGCAATAAAGTTTCAGGCCATGGGACTTGAGATCAGGGCTACGAAAGCAAGACTTACGTCGGAGTAGCACGCGGCCAGCGCAGTTGGTGAAGCAGCCAAGCAACCAGAGTGTTTTCGAAGCCATACCGACACATGAAGCCTATAGCTTATGAATCCGAAGCTGACATCAAAGAAACGCGTGGAATACATCGGTATCACCGTTTGTTGTGTACTTTCAGCATACAGACAATCATGAACAACATAGGACTGCGAAACTGCGCCGGGCAGCAACTGGTCAAACATGACTTGTATTTGGTGCTAGTAATGTTAACTCAAGACTATGATTTTGATATTCCTGACAATTTCGAATCCAGACAACAGTGTTTTTCCATTTGAGTAAAGCCACGAAAGCAATCCTCTCGCGTTTGACACTTGCCGCTTCTCCGTTTTCTCCCAAATGCGCAAGGCGTGCATTCAACATCCAGCCGCAAGAGCTTGGCTCAGTTTGCCGATTCTCCATGCCCTGAGCCGTTGGTATCTGCTCGTGTTGAGGCCAGTGCAGAAGCGAAGCTGCAGACAGAGCCAGGCTGGTCTGGTGATAGATTCGCGTGGATGTATGCACGAAGTCTCCGTGTCGGCTTTGGAATGCTCCGTACGAATGTGTTTGCAAGGTGGCAGTCGTGTACAGACTGTGGCCGCGCCGAAGCAGGCCCAGGCGAAAGAGAGTCGCAAGGGCTTACGGGCCGCCCGCTGGCAGTGTGCGTGTGGTCGGTGTGGGTCTACCAGGCAGGTTCCACAGAGCGGCCAGCGGGTCAAGTGGACTGCGCGAGTTCGGGTGTTCAATGCGCTCATCAGTGTGTTCATCATGTGCATCGTCATGCAACATCCTTTAACTTGCAACCTCACATGCAAACTTGGCAGCCTGCAGGACTTGGAACAGGTGCAGCCTTTGCTGGCACAGGTTCAGAATCAGCTTCAACAGCTGCAAGACCTCCAGCTGCGCGAGCCTTGACGTGCGATGCATATCGATGTAATGCAATGGGTTTTGTGTTGCCTGGCGCCCAGGAGCCAGGGTCATTTGACCGCTGTCCAGCAAGATCATTTTCGACAACTTATGCACATGCAGCAGCTGCTGCAGTGCTTTGTCTGCTCTGAATTGAAGGGTTTTGAGAGCTGTCGCAATCCAGGTACAATCATCCAAGAGAGTTGGTGTGAGTGGCTTCCTGCAGGTCACACATCACGCAGCAAGCCCCGCAGACAGATCAAAGAGCAGACCGCAGCAGTGAGGACAAGACTTGCCGTGACAATCCTGGGGGGTGCAAAGTGACAACGGCAATCGGTTGCTTCAGGATCTTTTGCCGCCGTCAGTCGGACCAAATGCTACACATGAAGATCATTATGAGGAGCGCGTGTGCTGACCTGCGCGTTTGGGCTCTTTCGTTTCCCACACCTTTGAACTTCGCAGTCATGAATACATAAATAATTATATATATATATATACATGCTCGCCCCCCCCCATAATCCACACATTTGACTTCGGGAAGTCTGGTTTTGGGAGGGGGGCGGGACTCCAGACTCCAGATTTCCATACCTCCAGACTCCAGACTTCCAGAAAAATCTGGAGTACCTGCAGACTCCAGACTCCAGATTTCCAGAAACAATCTGAAGTACCTCCAGCCTCCAGATTTCCAGAAAAAATCTGGAGTACCGGGGGCCCTGGACTGCAGATTCTGGAGTCTGGAATCTGGAGTCTGGGGCCCGGGTACTCCAGATTCTTTCTGGAAATCTGGAGTCTGGAGTCTGGGGCCCCGGGTACTCCAGATTTTTTCTGGAAATCTGGAATCTGGAGTCTGGGGCCCCGGGTACTCCAGATTTTTCTGGGTCTGGAGTCCGGGGCCCCGGTACTCCAGATTTTTTCTGGAAATCTGGAGTCTGGAGTCCGGGGCCCCGGTACTCCAGATTTTTTCTGGAAATCTGGAGACTGGAGTCCGGGGCCCCGGTACTCCAGATTTTTTCTGGAAATCTGGAGTCTGGAGTCTGGGGCCCGGGTACTCCATATGCATGTTTAGGGATTGCGGTTTAGTGTTTATTGTTTAGGGTTTAGGGTTTGTAGGGTTTACTTTTTAGGGTTCAGCGTTTAGTGTTTAGGGTCTAGTGTTTAGGTTTTGGTTTTAAAGGTTTAGGGTTTACTTTTTAGGGTTTAGGGTTAAGCGACTTGGATAATGTCTAAAACCCCAAACCTTATGATGATGAAGCTTTAAAACCCCTAAAAGGACTGAAACCCCCCATGTTTTTTGGTTTGGGGTTTACGGTTTAGTGTTTAGGGTTTAGGGTTCAGGATTAGTGTTTAGTGTTTAGGGTTTAGTGTGTAGGTTTCAGGGTTTCGTGTTTTGTGTTTAGGGTTGAGTGCTAAGTTTAGGGTCTAGGGTTTAGGTTTAGGGTTTAGGGTCAAGCGGCTTGGCTAAAACCCTAAACCAAATACAACCCTGAACTCTAAAATCCAAACAGTAAGCATCTGAACCCCCTACGGGTTTTTGGTTTCAGGTTTAGATTAGTTGGGCTTGAGGTCCCGGCTTTGGGGTTTACTGTTTAGGGTTTAGGGTTGAGTGTTCAGTGTAATGTTTAGGGTTTAGTTTTAGGGTGTAGCGTTTAGGGTTTAGTGCTTAAGCGTTTAGGGTTTCGTGTTAAGTGTTTGGGGTTTGTGCTAAGGGCTTATTGTTAAGTTTTTAGGGTTAGTGTTTAGGATCTAGTGCTGAGTGTTTAGGGCTTAGTGTTAAGAGTTTCGGGTTTGGTTTTAGGGTTAAGGGTTTTAAGGGTTTTTACAAATTTAGATGATCTGGGGAAGGCACCGGGCCTTCCCCATACCATTGACAACTTTACAATCTTTCCGTTTAGGGTTTAGGGTTTAGTATTCAGGGTTTAGTGTGTAGGTGTAGTGTTTAAGTGTTTAGGGTTTAGTGCTCAAGCGTTTAGGGTTTCGTGGCAAGTGTTTGGGGTTGGTGCTAAGGCTTAGTGTTAAGTTGTTAGGGTTAGTGTTTGGGGAGTGGTGCTGAGTGTTTAGGGTTTAGTGTTAAGAGTTTCGGGTTTCAAGGGTTTTTACAAATTTAAATGATCTGGGGAAGGCACCTCCCCAGACCATTTCTCAGAAACCTTTTGAAATTTAAATTGTCTGGGGAAGTCACCGCGGCTTCCCCAGACCATCTGAACTTTTAAAACCCTTAAAATCTTATAAAAACCCTTAAAATTCTGTTTAAACATTCTCAGGATTTTTAAGGTTTTAAAGGCTTTAAAAACCTTAAAATGCTTAAACGTTTAAGTGGCGGCCCTTTTAGGATTTTAAGGATTTTTAAAGTTGTCTGGAGAAGCCCCGGTGCCTTCCCCAGACCATGTGTTCTTTATAAATCTTTAAATCCTGAAATTCTTACAGTTGTAAATGGCTATCCTTTTGAAAAAGTTTAAGGGTTTTAGGATGTTCAATTCTAAAAGCCGTAACTTCCTTAATTTTGAACGGCTGCCCGTTTACAATTTTAAGGTATTTTTAGAATTTTAAGGGAGAAAAGTCTTCAGGTTTTTAAGGGCTTGAAAGCCTTTTAAATCCTGCAAAATTTGAATGGCTTTAAACCCTTAAAGCCCTTAAAATTTTAAAAGGGCTGCCTGTTCAAAAACAATTAAGGATTTTAAGGATTTCTAAAATTTGAAATGGTCTGGGGAAGCCCGGTGCCTTCCGCAGATCATCTAAATTTTAAAACCCCAAACCCTGAAAAGCCTTAAAATTCTAAATGGCTGCCCTTCTAAAATTTTTATGGAGCCACAAGACACACGTTTCAGAAGCAAAATGCACATAAAAAACACTAGTGTTTTTATAGGGGACAATATAATACAATATAAAATACCTTTTTGTATTCCAGTACAGTTTTTACTTCATTTTTCCGAGCAAAAAGCAGAAAATCAGACAAAGACGAAGACAGGAAACCATAGGTGTAGATGATAGGGTGGGGGGGTGACCATATATATAGATATATATATATATATATATATATCTCTATATATATATATATTAGAGCAAGAGATGCTGATGATGCTTGTGGCACTCGCGCTCGCAGTGCTCTGGCGGTGTGGCAACTTTAAAAATGCGTCAACCTTTTCTGGTCACGGCCAAAGCAGCAATCTAACCCTGGACCGGATTGCCAACCTCCATCAACCTCCACAGCGCCGAACTCCAAGCAGTCCACCCAAGAACACCAAAATGTTCAAGCCTAGGTGACAGATCCGCGGGCAGTCGGATAATGCTCCAGTCCAGCGTTTGGCGCTCTGGAACGGTCTCTGCGTGATAGCTCTAGCTGAGAATGCCAGATCCAGGCGCTACTACAAGGAAAATCAGGGAAAGCTCCTTGACAGAGCTCTGCTATGCTTGGTTTGCTTGGCTTGCCTCAAATAGCGGGAGGTCTGGGGGCGATCTTGGAAGCAAAGAAGCAAAGCCCTCACGGATGCTGACGGATGCTCACGGATGCCCACGGATGCTGATGGGGGACGGGCGCACCGGACCCTTCTCGCAGGGTAGATACGGTAGAACTGAGCTGCCTCTGACGTTGCTCATGCTCGCCCTTCTGGATGCTTGGTGTGCCCTCCATACATCTTTTGCTGTGCCTTTTCTTGTATTTTTGGCAAGTTCTTCACACTTCTGCTTCCTTTACGTGTCGGAGTCTTGTTGAACTTGCCCTTCGCCTGCCGCGGCTGTCCGCACCCGCCCAATGCATGTTGCCAGAAGAACATCATCATGATGTTGTTGCTGCTGCTGCTGCTGCTGCCGCCGCCGCCGCTGCAGCTGGCGTTGCTGCTGCCGCTGCCGCTGCAACTGCCGCTGCCGCTGCCGCCAAGTTTCATTCTGGCAGTGCCGCTCAAGTGTTGCAAAGTGTGTGAACCGCTGGAGCTCGTCGATGTACTCCAGACAGGACCAAGCGAAGGCTCATGTTACAGAAGACGGTGGCTCGGAGGCGCCGTTAGTTTCGCATCGTTTGGCATAGAAGCTCCCAGTCTTGATCGTATACGCAAGGCCCGTGTGGTGCCCAATGGGCAGGGTGTTCAAGGACTGCCACGGGGGATGGCACGGATGGCAGTGTTGGGCGCAGGAAAGTCCTCCGCCCACCTCTTCAGAATCCTGCAGATAGTCCCCACCCCCAGAAAATCCCTGCTCACTCCAAGAGGGGCTCCAAAGAATATCCCTGGAGTGGCCCCTCCCACGTAGGCACTACTATGTGGGGGAGAGTGCCGTTTTATTGTAGCAGACGCAGCCTCTGGTGGTCCCTTGGGGTTGTAGAGAAAGAGGCGCCTGGGGGGCCTAGGGGGCCTAGGGGGCCTAGGGGGTTTCCAAGGAAAATACCTCAGAACTCAGTTAGAGTTAAAGCTCCAACAGCCCCACCCACCCCCCCGCACCCACATCCAAGCCGAGAGAGTACGTCTCGACATTCTTTTGCCTCCTGTATTCCAAAAGTTTTGTGCCGTGCTGCGTGGGGCATGCAAAGTGCTGCAAACCTTCGCCTTAGCACATGACTGCAGCACCTCCAGCAGTGAGGGGGTGGGTGATCTGCGGCTTGAATGATCAGCTCACTCTTGCTCACTCCATTTTTTGCATACCCTACGCGGCAAAGAGGATGCCGCAGGACCACAATCTTGGGTGTGTAGAGCTTGCCCAAGAACACCTGCCCCCCCCCCCCCAGTTTTTGTTTCAATCACGTTTTTTCGCTGTCCGGTGTCCCATCCCGCCGAGAATCCCCAAGTATCCCGGCCCAAGCCTGCAGAGAGATCCCTGTCACAGAGGCCCCCCAAATTTCCTGGAGTACCCGCCTCCAAAGAACCCCGCCAGATCGCTGGAGTGCCCAACCTCAGAGAATTCCGTGGAGAGTGGAGTATCCAGTATCCAAAGATGACCTGTCCGAAAGCGGCAAGATTGCTGCCACATCATAGTTTTTTGTTGTTTTTTTTTCACAGATACCCAGCCGGTTCCTTGGTCCAGCGATCTAGTGGTGGAGGGCAGCCTTGCCCGGAAACGCACAGGGGATCTCCCGCAGCTCACACATGTTTGCATGGACTTCATGTTCTCCGATGATCTCCGATGGCCAGATCACTCCTCCATCCAGACGGGACAGCCAAGGCTGGGAACTGAGAGATCTCCTTTCGCTCACGAAACGGGCGACAATGTGCATTGATGTAGGCCATTGTAGGCCATTGCAGTATATGCAGGTCGCAGCACCGGCCGCCCGTCTTTGAGCTGCCTACTGCAGCGAAGGCGGCTCCGCCCTGTTGGCGTGCTCTCTGTCTAATCACCGTTGGTGTTGGGAGTATGTCATTCGATACCGCTGCTTAGCCGTTAGCCGTTAGCCACAGATGCGAAGTAAACCTGTTGGTCTTTGTGAAGACGGGAGCCGGGTTTCTGAGTCGAGTGGAAAGTGCTGACATGCTTTGTCGCTTTGTGTTCGTGTTGGATCCTTCCAAGTTTGTCAGGCAGCTGCAGCCTTGCCGAGCTCTCCGCTTGACACGCTAACGCCGGGCATCATCTACGAGACTGCGGCTCCAGAGCCTGCATAGATTTTGCGACGACACGAGGGCGCGCGCGCACACAGGGTCACCCACACACAGGGTCACCCACACACCCACACACCCACACCCCCACACACCCACACACACACGCACACGCACCCACACACGCACCCACCCACACACCCACACACCCACACACCCACACACCCACACACCCACACACCCACACACCCACACACCCACACACCCACACACCCACACACCCACACACCCACACACCCACACACCCACCCTAGCACGCGGTTATGCGATTGAGCACGCCCCCCCGCACCCAGCCACTCATCAACCCATCCACCCCCCAGCCCACACACACGCACATGCCCGCGCCATTGCTGCCTCGACAAGCTTGACTGCATCCGACCGCTAAGGTTTCGTAACGTGCCGTGAGCTGGGAAAAGAGCTCTCCAAGGCTCTCACATGCTCTCACACAGTTGCTGCAGAAAAGCACCTTCAGAAAGTCAGGTGTTGCTCCTGTGACATGCTTAGTCCACATCTGCGCAACTACATGCAGCAGCAAGACCAATGTGAGGGCTTGTCGGGCACATCGTGTCGTGCATTGCCGTGCCAATCCAAACTTCAGTGTCATTAGACGACGTCGATAGAGTGAGTATCATGCGATCACTTGTTCTGAATCTGTGCAATCCTGGTCTGCCTGTTCCTAAGGCATGTGGGGGGACATTTTGATGTTATAAGGACTCTTTTGACTCTTCTCATGTTCATTTTTGCGAAAACGCGTGACGGCTTCTCAACCACCCATTGCGGCATAGCCATGAGCTCCCCGGAGCCGCCGGAGCCGTCGGAGCCGTCGGAGCCGTCGGAGCCGTCGGAGCCGTCGGAGCCTTTAAAAAAGGGAACTTGACGCTTTTCGTATTCTGGGCCTTTATCCATGGCTTATCTCCTGTTTCGCAAGACATCAAGGCCGGAAGAGGCCCACATTGCAGCCGAAGGCTGCGGCTGAATGGACTAGAAAGTTTTCAGACTGAAAACGTGCAAATGCTGAAACGTGACGCAGGGGAGTCCGTGGACGAGACCTTCCAGCACGGCTCCGAAATTGTGTGTTGAGCTGTTCTGCCTGATGCGTGTATTGCCCGACACTGTTACAAGGACCACTTGCAATGCAGATGCACGAGATGAGGCCGGAGATCAAGTTGAGGGGCTGAGCCGACGTTGTTTGCCGCAGTCCAACCTTGCATGTTGAAGGATGCAGAAAGACTACGTGGCGCATTGGACAAGCTCACCCACCTGCACAGAGGGGGTCTTTTTGAGTCCTTGGCTTCAGCCATCTTCAAGACCGAAGATTGCGGTTGCAAGGTTCTTCAACGACTTCCATCAGCACATCTTTGATCCAGTTCTTCTGCGACTGGCTGCTCTTGCAATTCGAGAGGACTGTCTTTTGACAGCTGCGTGGTATGTTTTTGGCGCAGCGACATCGCGAGGATCTCTCCCACGTTCACAAAGACTGAACGAAGTTTGTTGGGCAGTCGAAATGTATGCGTGGAAGGGTCTGCTGAGGTTTCTTGCACAGCGCCCTGACTCAAAAAAGGCAAGATGAACTCTTTGTTCTTCCCGCTAAGCTTTTGGGCCTAAGGCGATGGAATATATCGTCCAGAATATGCCAGTACAGTTGCCGGAGTTACATTGGCAAGCGTTGGCATTCGCAACATAGCCCGCATACTGACCACATCTGACCAGACGCCAACATACTCCAACACATACGTGCAGCTAGAGCAGACCGCCCCAAATGGCGGGTGGTCAATCCGAGGAGCCAAGTGACCGGCCGTGGCAGGTGAACTTGGATGCGGGCACTCTGCGAGGGTGGGGTGCTCTGACGTCGCCTGTGGACACAGAGCCTGAGCCGTCAAATTCGTGTGACAGCCGTCGAGATCCACATTACGCCGACTATGATGCTCCAGACTCGTGTGTAGACGACATACCGCAAGATGTTGCGGATCCCAGCAAGCTGCAGGCACGCCATGCGAAGCTGCGGGTGCCTAGTGAAAGCAGTTGATACCGAGCACCATGGGCTTGCGAGGCGCTCTTGTGCGACAATGCTGCTCTTTTCGAGGTCGCAGCTTCAGAATGAGGGTTGCAGCAGGTTGGAGAGCGTGGCAGCACTCGATGGAATCTCGATGGAGTCGATGGATTGCAGGTTTGCCACCGTGCCGTCGTGCTTGCAGCCCAACAGAAGCCATGGGCTCAGCACTGTCCAGCAGAGACGAGCAGCTCCGGAAGCAATGCCAGTAGGGCTGTCGGGAACCGCAGCTTTGGCCAAGCAAATGGAACTGTTCGGAATGTTTAGCTAAACCGAACTGTTTGCATGCTCATAGCAAATGATTCGCCTTTTCGTCCTTTGCTGAGGTTGGAAGCATCGGATGTGGCTTCTTCCCAGTTGACGAGCGTCGGGCTCCCAAATGCATCCCTTGTGGCTTTTTACCTTCATTCTCCTCCCATTTCGGTTTGAAATGTCTTGAGGTGGACATGCTGCAGGTGGCTCTGCATCCAGCTCAGCTGATGTTGAGTCCGCTGTGTTCGTTGGCATTGCGCCCGCATGGACTTGGCAACCTCAGGAACCACATCTGTAAGCATGCTGGAGTTGATCCCGTAGACAAGGAGGAGGTGAGATGCAAGACCGCAGGATACCACATGTATCGGAATGTTAGGCAACATGGTCTGACATTGGGAGCCAGAGCGGAGCATGCTGGAGGCTGACGAGCTATGGGATGGTCCAATGGACGTAGGTGTGGTTTGCCCAGTTTGCTTGCAGATATAATCAGATATACACAATGACCTAGTGATACACTGCCGCATGTCCGAAGAGTCGATCCCCGTCCGCTATCTCTCAGGTGTTTTATCAGTTCGCGCGCGAGTACTTCAGTTCGTTGTGCCGTGTCCTCACAATGGACATCTCGCTAGCACAAACCGACTGAGGAAGCTGACAGTTGTCCCACAAGTGCCGGAGGTTTGAAGATTGCAAGATGCATTAAAAAAGTATGCATGTTCCAAGACCGCCCAGGATGTTGATAAGCGCTATGGACTGGTTGGGTTTGGCAAAGCAGTCTTGTTGAAGCATGTATGCCACCATATCTCTTTGCCTTTCGGGTGTCTGCTGAGCACGTCGTGACTCTCTCCCACGTTTACGCAATCTCATGTTGTAGTAGTAGTTGTTGTTGATGATGATGTTCTTGTTGGTCGTCAGTGTTGTCAGTCTGTCTGTACCGTACGTTGCTTGTCAGCAGCCTTGGTAGCGTATGGCTGTTCCGCTAAGTTTTTCAGTTTGCCTCGGGAACGGGAACGCCCGCACAGTCACGCTGTGGCAGGCTGGACCCGAAAAGTGATAGGTTTGGATGCCAACCAACCCCCCTGAATTCTGTGTGCTCTTCCGACCTCTATCTATGCCGCCCGCTCACCTCTCGAGACGGAATGTGCAATCCACGACACAACAATAAGCTCGACATCACAACGGTCACAAGTTGTAGCATTTGCAGTAGCTGCATGTAAAGGCTTAGGCGCAGCTTGCAATATGATCAGGCTGACTGTTGAAACCTGAAGGTATAGGGCTTCGCTGTATGGCAGCTAGCAGCAAGTTCTCACGGCTGACTGGCAATGAGCTGTTCCATTCTCTGAGCTGTTCGCATGGACAAGCGCGTCAAGGGCAGCTTCTGGAGCAACCAAGTGGGGCCACGCCATGGAGGTAGAGCATTGATCCAGCTTCCACCTGGTGGATTTGGAGACACAGGCTTATTGGTTCCCTGTCCGGAAATGATCAGATTCTTGCCTTTGCTTTGCATCATGTCCATATGATATTTCTTCCTTGGTGCCTCCTCATGAGGCATGTGTGCAAGATCTTACGGGTATCAGGCGTTGCACTGTGTGCAGGTGGGTTGGTTGCAGGCAAGGTAGGTTCCCAGTGTCGCCCACATGTTCTGGTCGCGTATTGACCATTCTTGACCATGTTCACATGTTCCATAAGGTAACATGGCTGAAAGACCTGAAGCGGCGAGCTCGCTTGGACGAGCGCACATTCGTGCAAGCAATCACGTACTGTGGCAAGGGTCCGGAGTGGCAGCGTGCTCTGCATTTGCTAGAAGTCATGAATGAAAATGGCTTGGAAGTGCGAGCGGCGGCATGCACTGCAGCCATCTGGGCCTGCAGCCGCCAGAAAGAGGCCCACTGTCGAGACGCAGCCCTGGAGCTCTATGAGCAAATGAAGGCATGGGGCATCAGACCATACGACAGCACCTGCGCAGCGCTCGCAGCATGCGAGCACGATTGGCCTCGGGCTTTGGGCCGTGTTGTACAAATGAGAGCTGACGGACTTGTGCGATTACCACGTGCACATGTGACTGCAGCAAACGTTTGCGAATCCATGACAGCGAGTTGGACACTGTCACTGGAGGTGCTGGAAGCAGCACGCCAGTCGACCAACATGTTACTTGAAGCGGCTGTAAGTCTGCCAGAGTCGTTTCCAACTCAAACGTCCGCATTCTGTCGCGGCCGGCATTGGAGCTCTGCAATTAGTTTCCATCTCGAAGCAAAGCGGCAACAACTTGCGCTGTCTTTGGATGTGTACAATAAACTTCTCGGAGCCTACAGCTTGCGTAGCAGCTGGCAGGACGTCTTGGATCTCATGGCTGAGATCTATGACCAGGAGTTAACACCAAATGCTGACAGCTACGAAGCAGCCTTGAAGTGCTGCAGTGATGCATCACAGTGGCAGTGGGTCGTGCAGCTCTATGAAGAGTTGAACTTGTACAACTTGCCCACAAGCCGGGTCCAAGCACTGGCGGCGCACGCCTGCCGGCAGCTGGGTGTTCAGCGCATCCCAGCACTGGCCCAGCCATCGGTGAAAACATGGATGTCCATGCATTTCCTAGTTGCCAGCATTTGCCAGCCTAACTCGTTTCTGTGTGGAAGTGACACAAACGTGACATGTCCAAATCATTTTCAAACAACAGTCGGGCTTCGGCTGGGTGGAGCTGTGTAGCCCCGGTGCATGTGGTATGCTACGCAACTCCAAGCTGATACTTCAGACACGCAGGCTTGCACAGCAACCTCACCAACCCGCTTTTGTGGCCGTAGCTCTCCGATCCTTGATCATGGAGATGGACGCCTCTGAAGGTTTGAGCCGATGCATGAACAGAACAATCATGAACAATCATGAACACGTGCATGGATCATGTCTCTCAGCTGTCCTGTGCAGGGGCATCCGAAGCTCCCAGACTTTGGCCTCACGCAGCACGCATCTTGGAGGCTGTTGCCGATTCCGTGAAGCCTGGGAAGTTCATGAAACGTGATGCAGTGGCACGTCTGTTGGTACCCGTCTCAGGCTGGTGCACGTCTGCATACATAATGCAGCTCGGGGTCAGGGACATGAGTGCTGCGAAAACTGATCTAAGGCTGTTGCCCAGTACTATCCCAATCAGCTGGAGGGTGTGCTTGCGACAGCGGTGCTGGCAGTTCTTCGGAGCATGGAGGTTGCAGGAAGTCAGGTGTTTGGAGCTCAACCCGTACTGGACCTTTTGGCAGAGGCAACCGTGCAATCAAGATCCTTGCTCGTCCTGGACACCTTGCTGGGGCTGTTTGATGGCCATGCCCCGAGAGCAAAGCTGGTGCGACAATGCTGTGTCGCTCTCCTTCACAGGATGCTGGAGATCGCACCGGCAAGGGACGGAAAACGGTTGGAACGAATGTTTCTTGCTTTGGCGGCCGACAAAGTACTCTGTGTGAGAGGCTTGACGATCCCCGCCTTAGCATCCCTCGGAACAAGGGCAGCTGTCGCCGCACTGGTTGAGATGGCATGCAGCGATCTTGTGTGCAAGATGCGGCTCGATGCCCTCGTCCACCTTAAAGTGCTTCAGGCCTGTCGTATCCGGTAGTTTTGTAGAACATGTGACAATGTGATCCCAGTTGTCTGAACTTGATTTCGGATCTTGTCAGGAAAATCAAGCACTGGTCTTGGAGCAGCATTTGACAGAGATGCTTCTTGAGCGGTCCATGGACGTTTCTTCGCGGGTGCGATGCAGCTTGTTCAATCTGTTGGAGCAACTGCGTCCGATGACTTCTCCAAAGCTTTGCAGTTTGCTTCGGCAAGGCCTGGCTGACACGGATGCAAGCGTCCGCCGAGAGTGCGAGTCCATGCTGCAGTCCTGGTTTTCACGGGTTGCACCCACAGATGGCAATGCAAATACTACATTATCTTGCATGTTGAAGCTCATCAATGTCTTCTTAGCCGTGCCGGCCAAGCAATCGGAGCCTTTGGTGGAGGCCATCTTGCGAAGGCTACTGGGTTCTGAGGAGTGGGGGTCGATGGCAGAGCCAGAGCAGGCTGTTCAGCTCCTCCTGCACGGCGAGAGGACTCTGGACACAGCACAGGTCATGCTTGGTCGCATTGTCGTCTCCATGGATCCGCAGAGGTGGAATCTTAGTGGAGCCCTGAAGGGTTCCTTGTTGCTTCGCAAAACCTTGGAGGCATTGGACGCTGGGAACGGTTCCACACTTCGTCAGCTTCTCATGGTGCTCCTTCATGCCCGCGTGCATGATGAGGTGGCAGCAAAAACCCTGTTACAAATGGCAACTGCCACGCTCCTGCGCTGTCCACTTGACAATCCCTCCACAAAGCAACCACGTGCCACGGCTTTTGCAGAAGACCGTGTGCAACAAGTGACCTTGGATCCTTTCCGGTTGGCCATCCTGCTGGCTCGGCGATCACTGCAGTCGCCCGTGTCTCAAGGGCGGGCATGTCAGCGAAGTAAGGCGCAAGTGGAGTCGGATTTGTCAGAGACCATCCAGACGGTACTTCGCGTGCTCGGCACGAAGGTCAAGGCCAGTTTTCCAGAGTCTGGGCTCGACGATAGCAGTGGCTTGGCAGAAATCACAAAATGCATTGCAGCACACCAATCGTATGCCCTGGCGGTAGAGGAGAGAATTCAAGAACTGGGCGCGAAATGTGAGCAGCTCACTAATGCTCGCGACTTCGCTGCAGCATACCCCTTAAGACAGGAAGTAGAACAGCTACGGCAGCAGCGGGAGGAAGCAGAGTGCAAGGCAGAAACTGCCTGTGGTACGCTCGGGCGTCACCTCGTCCGCATCCTTCACGTGGCTGAGGCATTTCTGTCATATACGGAGGCGGAGCTTGAGGATGATTTTCCTTTGTTCCTTCTTTTGGACGATGTGTTGCGGCCGGCGCTCTTGCTAATTGACTCTGTGCCGGTTTGTTTGGGTGCGGTTTGTTGGCCGGCCTTACGAGCACAAGCTATCCGCTGCATCGCTTTGCATGCATCCCTCTCCATGGAAACTGCTTGGCAGCACCAATTCTTTTTTCATTCGGTGCTCGGGCAGTACATTCCGGAAGTGCTGTCATCTGTTCGTCCAGACGTTGATGTTGCAGCTGCGGTAGAGGACATCGTGCTGACATCCTTGTCATTCCTGATCGATACACTCTTGCTCCACGATACAAGCTCTTGCAACACAGAGAACGGCAAGCAGGGCAGTCACATCCAGGACGGCTTCCTCATGTTTGCTAAAATTTGCAATGCCAATCCAGTTCGTAGAAGTGCGTGCTCAGGACGCTTCTCTCGCAATTTGCGAGCGGGCAGCCCCCCTCCTCGCAGGCCGCTCTTGAGAGTCCGTTTGCTTGCAAACTGCAAACACATTCAGCATGCTAAGTAGAATATCGCAAGAGTGGTGTGGCCAGTGATGCAATCCCTCACAAAGCCCCAAAGGCGATAATCTGAGTTGCTGGCTGCGCGAAGCTCTGGCTTCGCGATTCTGTACCTTTCTCCTCTTCCAAGGCGTGTAGTTGCCACAGCTGCAGGCTACATGTACGGTTCAGAGTTCCTGAGTTCTTCAGAGCCACTGGAGGCATTCAAAGCACGTCGCCGGCACACTGTTGGGTGGCCTCGTGGTTGTTGCAAAATGCGTTTGCTGAAGATGATACCATCCAACCCTGTCGTTTGGAGGCACGTCCCGGAGTTTTGTCTGTGTTGAACTGCAAGGGCAATGCCGTCCATGCTGCTATTCGCTATTTCAAGGCTGCCGTGCTGAGTGGGCGCCTGCTGAGATTCTTTGCGTCGCTGCGGCAAATCTCCTTCTGCCACTTGGAGGTGCCACTTTGTCTTGTGGCCGTCCTATGTTCGAAGCGGAACCAGGAGACTCAACAGACAATGGATGGCCTTGCATGCACCAGTCCCATCAGTGCACTTGTTGCCTTTACTTCTGCCAGCTTTCTTCCCACGTTGATACTAAGCAGTCCACTTGACGAGAGTTCTGAAGATTTGGTTTGCCTGCTCTTGCTCGCTTTTGGTTTGTTGCGTGACGTGTTGCCGCTTTGCCCTGTTGCAGTCGTCCATATGCCTGAAATCACCTTGACAGCTTGGTGTCAGGTGCTTGCTATTGCTGCGAAGGGCTTCTTGATATTCGACCGGTGGCAACTCAAAGACCCATCCTCGGCCGCGACCTTGGATACCTACGTAGATGTATTCATGATTATGAGATGCAATTCACCGGTATGAAGTACGGTAAGATCAATCCTGACAGGCTCTACAGCACCCAACCATGATGCTGCCCCGCTATTTCCTCAGCTTTCTCTTGCGCAGTAGGCGAATGTCACAATGTCGCTTTCGTCGTTGATTGTTTGTCGCACGCGGCCACTGCTGAAACGTTGTCATGCACATCGTTATATATATATATATACATATACATATACATATATAGATGCTCGCCCGCGCAAGGCATGGCACGATTTGTGAGCAGGGAGCTGTCACGTGCAGAAGGCCCCTGGCTCTGCTTGCGTTCAACGCAGCGAGATAGGAAGTCAGCTAGTGCTTCAGGAGCTCCTGTCGAAGCATCGTTGCTCAGCGGCATGTTACATTTTATTTGAAACTCTCAGACTTTAAGCAGCGGCCTGCAAGACAGCTGGCCGGTGATGCTGCTCTGCCACACGATCTAAGGGAATGGTGGCTTCATTGTCTTTGGCGGCCGTTGGCCCTTCTTTGCCTGGTCTATCTCTCAAGTTCTGTGTTGTGGCAGAATGATGAGTTTGTTGTGAGAGCTCTCAGGAAAGAGCAGCGCTTGGAGTTTATGGAGATGCGAATCTTCTGTGCACACTGCCGCAGGAGTGCAGCATGAGAGTCTCCTGTTGCGGTGCTCCATTGCCGTGCCTTGAACTGCTTGAGCTGCTTGACAGGCACTTCTTGCCGCCTTGTCTGGAACTGACGACTCAGCCGGGGTCTAGACCGGTCACCCGCATGCCTGCAATAGAGTTCAAGCCAGCCGGCTGAGGCCATCAACTTCACGTTTGCCCCAGAACACCGCCGAATGGCCATGATGTCCGAGGAGGGCATGCGCTCGTTTCATCACGTGTGTGGATGCACGCTCGTAAGCATTGTGTAGTCATGTCTAACACGTATGCACGTAGATCATGAAGATAAGCATACATGAATACACGTAAGTAATAAATGTTTGCTCCTCGCCCACCATGTGGATCCGCGATTCTTTGGGGGTTTGGTCAAAGACAGTTCTGGAGCTCGAGCCTTCCATGTAACACTGCGAGTTTGCGGCTGGTGGATCGTCTTGGTCGTTCGTGACATGAGTTTGTGGCTGGCGAGAAGCAAAACCTCAAGATCGCAGCATATGTAGTTCCCTTAATGCTGTATTGTCACCCAATAGCCACGGAGCCTGAATTTTAGTACAGGGTTTGAAAGTACGAACATGCCAAGTAGCCATGAGACTGCATGTGACCGGTAATATCCTTACACAGTCGGAATGTATTTGCCCCCAATCATCGGATTTGGAAGTTTTTTCATGAAGTATCCTTATACATCCAAGAGATTAAGATGAGAAGTACCTTACAACGCGTAAAGAATGATAGGCTAGCAGAGGAAATGAGAAGACTGTTTAAGGGTCTTTCGCTCAAAGCCTCGCTTGCTGTCTCCTCAACAAGTAAGATGCACGAAGGCATCTGCATTCCAGGTGATAAGCCTTGGGTAGAGAAGCCTTCTTCAAAATACAATTTAAAGCGCTCAAGTTTGATAGGAGAGTTTGAGTATGCATGGAGAGCTAGAAATTCTGGAGGGGCCTCGTGGAAGTGGCAGGCTGTGCGAGAGCCTATCGAAACAGAGTTTGGGAAGATGGATGACGAAAGGCATATATGATATCGAAGGCGATTTGATTGTAGAGTGACGGGTTTAGAGGAGTCTCGACCCTTCAAAAAACGATACCGTCTACAGTAGCAATCTCCTTGACGAGAACATGATTGGCAGGGCATCTGTATATGAAGCTTCATATCACCAAGCGAGACAAACAAAGATAGCGGGAACAGTACATCCTGTATTCCGCACCTGGCACGAGTGCCCCAGGAGCTGTCCTTCAGAAACAGGTTTCAGATTCACGTGCGGTGGGGTAGTAGAGTGAAAAGACTTGTGAAGTAAGAGACGTTGCTGTTACAGGGATACTCAGATCAACGACTACTCTGTCATTGAATGGTTGAGTAGACAGTCCACGAAGTATATCTAGGCAAATTGTCCAAGAAGTTGGAGACCGCACCATGAACACAGAGACATGAGGACAACGAGCACGCAAAGCCATTGGCACATTTGAAACCGCCCGTATCTAAAAGTGTGGGTGACGCTACTAAAGAAAGCTCCCAATGGATAGCGACAGGGTGATGATAAGCACCTCTCCATTCGTTTCTTCAGCTATGACATGCGACGAACAAAACTTGTTTTCGTCTGGTGTGGGAATGGAGAGTGACAACGCAACTAAAACTCTAGGGACTTTTGACTGCCCTAGGCACTAGCATAATATGAGAGAGTTGTAGGCCAGCGAAAGATGCAGAATAGCAGGTGCCAGAATTGTAGAGCCATGAAAGATGTAAACGTCATGAGCCTAAGCAACATGTTCATTAGTTCACTAGCTTGTTGGGCTTGAAGCTTTGGGTGAGCTTCGATTGTAAAGAGATGGGTTGACCATCTTAACGTACGAGTCTTTGCAAATGCTCAATCAATGGTTGACGATTGACGATGTGCAGATGACTTTGCCGCTGAAATCACCTATTTCCGCTCAACCATCTTAAGCATCTTGAAGCTGATGATGCTCAATCGACGTTCTTCGATTTCGCATCTCGAAACTCAAGGCACGCCAGACGGTTAAGACGGAAGTGGAAAATGTCGTAAAAACTCTGAGCACCTTCAATCTTCAATGACCGGCCTTGAATGTAAAGATCACGGCGGTTGCGACACCAAGAGACGGTATGCAAGCAGCCGTGGGTCTTCGGGGGTACACAGTGCTCTTGACCCGCATTGCTTCCTGCTTTCAGGCGGCCTGGGTCTTGAACCGCTTTGCCGAGCTGTGGGGTTCCTGGAATAGGCTGTGATGCTAGAGTGTGCTTCCATGTGCTTCCTTTGTCGAATTTTTTGGAACGTGCATCGGCAGGAAGTCAAACCGTTGTTCACGCGAAGGCGCCGCAGCGCCGAAGAGGCCTGCAGCGGAAGACGCACGCATGACGATCTCGTGCGGCGAGGTGTTGCCAAAGGTCTTCCCCAAGCTTTGCTGGAGCTGAGATCACGTCAGGGGCTCTGGACTTTCTCTCGATGTTTCTCTTCTTGGCTGTGCAAGCAAGGCCTCGTCTTGCTTTGTTCAAGTTCCCAGTCAGTCGAGTCGGAGCCGCAGGCTTGGCACGCTTTTCTGCCCAGATGGTCAAGGTCAGAACGTGTACGACTCTCTGTAGGACTGGCTGGGGGTCTACACTGCTGCCGCGCAGGAGCGGGCGAGGCGAGGGAATGCATGTCGCAACATGAGGCAGCTAGAAAGCAAGATGCGAGGCTGCGGCATGAGATTGAGAAGCTTGGAGCAATGGCAGCTCCTGATGGGAGTCTGGCAGGCGCGGGCACATGGCCCATGGTGGCACTATCCCTTCTTGCTTGCAAAGTCAAACTTGCACAAGCCAATTAGCATCATGAGCCATATGTCTGGTCTTTTGCAGAAGTTCGTCTGAACAGCTGCTTGCACTGGGCCGCTCCGAACTGCAACAGTGATCTTATAGCCTCATTTGCATGTGGGCATGTCCATGAAGGCAGACGAGCCAAGCGTCAACGAACCGACAGCACAATCTCTCTGAAAAGTGCAGGCGCTCTCCGGCATGGAATCACTGCATATCACTACCTTTGTGCCAACTGTGGCGTTCCAAGTCTAGTCATGAGCTGGCATAGCTGGTCTTTCGTTTCTATCAGTGAATGTGATCTAGTGTGCCCCCCCCACCCTCCACCCCATCCCGACCTGCAAGTGAGCGAGTGAAAGGGCGTGTACATGCACCGAGCAGCAACACGTTTCGCATGTTTTGCTCGTCCCGCTCTGAGATTTTGAAATCTTCCCTTTAAATGCAGAGGCGTGGGCAACCGGGTAGAAGCCTGCTCCCATCACAAAGATCAGAATCTTGAATATGGTCGTAATCGAGAAAATATGTCCTGTACAGTTTCCTCCTGATACATGCTGTACGGAAATAGAGGTTTCGGGCTTAGGATATGGCAGCTGTACACAGCAAAAAGATGCAAACCCCCTCACCCCCTGCTTGTTTTTCAAGCTCTGTGTGCTTGGTTCCAAATCATCCCGATTCTATCACCGCTTTGCTTAAACCATAGAATAGCGTCGTCGGATTGTTTGATTGCAAATGGGGAGATGGGCCGCGCCCTCTCCCGCCAATCGGCCCTTTTCTTTTTCAACCAGACACGCCACAGGAGATTGCGGCCCACGCTCGGACCATTTTGTTTGCAAATGAGGGTGAGGCCGCGCACCCCTGCACCCCCCGCTCCTTTTTTGGAGCATACTGGTTGTAAATGCGTCGCTGGGTCCCTGTGCTTGCATCCCCAACGGGGCGATGTTTGGTGTGCTTTCGTTCCCTTGCCGTCGCATGTGGTCGAGTACCCTAAACTGACCGCAAAAAGCCCAAAGCCCTTAGCCCCAAAAGTGCCGAATCCGTAAACCCGTAAACCCGAAACGACCCGGCAACCGCCCCGAAGCTAAAACCCTAAACGACGCGTCGTACATTTGAAACGGTGTTATTAATAAAGCAACCAGCGCTGGCGAATGGCGAAAATCACAGGACTAAACCCTAATAGGGTGTAGTGTGGGTGGGGGTGAGTTGACGACAGACGCCAGCGCACGGCCCGGGTGTTTCACTCGCGAGCACGCGACCTCCCCTGATACACTCCAAACGCTGAACCCTACAGCCCAAATGTCCCTAGCAACCGTAAACCCTAAACCCTGACAACCCTCAAAGCCCCATGCCTGGATCATTCTGTTTCAAAATAACCCTAAGGAATATGATAACATGGATGCAAGCTTACGCTTCACTTTGTAAGAGAGAGAGAGAGAGAGAGAGCTGTCAATACCGCATCCGCCCATCATTATACTTGCACACGGGGGACCCCCAACCGCCCCGCTTTGTGTCGTTGGTCGGGCCCTGCACCCCAAGTTAGGGTTTCCAACGCTGTCGACATGTCTGTCTGCTTGCGAAATTTAGGGTCGTGCCGTTCAAGAGTTCAAGGGCCGACCCCAAGTTCAAACACCTTTCTGCATTTCTAGTTCTGTGTTCTTTGTGCCGTCGTCGGCCATTTTGCTACAGGACTTAAAGAGCCATATGCTTGAGTCTTGCGTTGTCCGTTTCCGTTGGGTTTCGTCTAGCCGCAAACTTGCAGAAGCTGGACCGCTTTTAGGTCTTGGTTGGACAAAAGGGCAGTTTATTACGTCCGAAATCCTACGCCCCCGGATCAGACAGAACGCCATGCCAGAAACAGTTCTGCTGCGCCGCAGGACGTCTGAGAGCCTCTGCCATGCTATGCGGTATGACGAATGACGGCACGGCCGACAGCAAATGCATCCCGAAAAGCAACATGTTCGTGGGGGTGGCAAGAATCAAGTCTTGATGCCCAGCTGTGGGGCGGGCTGGAAGAACCTGAGCCCATCTCAGCTCGCCACAGAAACCCCTACGTCACCTTCAGTCAGTCTAAGTAAGTTCAGTGAAGACGTACGGAGGTGAATGTGGTTCGTGATTTGGAGCGAGAACCCACGAGTCGCATCACTGCATCATTGTTCAGGTGACGTGATTGAAGACATCCTAGACTAAGAGTTGATGCCTCAGACTTGGGTTGCTGCGCCAATTCCCATCTAGCATCGCAGAGCACACTGAGGTAAATCTCGCGGAGGATCCGGGGCAACAGCTCAGTCTGGCTGAATGGGAGTCAGCCGTCTGTCTGCGAGCACTGTGAGGGATCCTTACCTGCTTTATGCCGTTATGCGATTTGCGTGACACTGACGGGAAGCGGTGGCGGGATGAGCAAATCACGACTGCCTAGCTGCAAGGAGTTGCAAGGGCTGGCTTGCTTGCTTGATTGCTTGCTTCTGTTCACCGCGTTGTTTGGAATCGGCGTCCTTGTGAGACAGATGCCCGGCATTCGGCTCAAACGCCAAGTTGCGTCAACATGCTCACCCTAAAAAGAAAAAAGAGACCTCGAGTTTCTTCCCGCACCAGCCTCACTTTCGTACTTAGCTCACGCAGACGTTCAAACTCTGCAAGCGCGCTCTGCACTGTGTGGTTGGACCCTCTTCGATGTATGGCGCACCGCTCCCTCCGGCAGCTTGCTTGGACACTTGAGAAAGCTGCGCAGTTCTGTTCGGCTGAGAGCTTGTCGAAGTATGGCGTGGAATGGGGAATGCAATCGTTGGCGCTGTCCATGAGGCTGGATCCAGTATCAAGGATCCTTTCGCCTGGAAGGAGGCTTTTTTGCAAAAGCAGTTCTCTGCCCTTTGTTTCCACTAGCAGCCACTAGTTTGCACGAGCCTGAACCTGCATTTGCTAAGCTTCCCCGAGTCTTCCTCGAATCTTCCTGCTAGGCGCTGACGCCTCAGGGCGTTTCTCCTGCAGCTTCTGCCCGCAACTCCAGAGCAGGCCTTTGCTCAACGCAAATCAACGACGTAGCGAGACACGTGTCGAGACTTCGAGGGGCGGCGCAACAAGATGTCAGGATTTGGGAATCTTCGCTGCGCAGGTTCCAATGCCAGCACTCCACGCAACCCGCCCACGCCACCTTTGTCACCCGCACCAGGTGCAAATCTTACTATATCAGTCTCGCTCGCCCTGTCTCTCACTGCCTCTCACTCTCTCACTCTCTCTCACTCCCTCTCTCTCTCTTTCTCTCTCTCTTTCCCTCCCTCTCCCTCCAGCTTACATGAGCCCGCAACTTTTAGGGTGTAGTTAGCTTTGCGTTGTTTCTTTTCTGTTCATATGAAAAACACAATATTCAGATATATCCTTCATATTTATTTTAAGGGGCTGCGCGAATGGCCGGGCAGGGCTGGCAGAAGCTCCAGGAGAGTTGTTCTTTTTCTTCGTTTAAAGGCTGCCGCCAATGCCGCTGCAAACGGGTCAGCTGTAGGCTTTCATAGTCGGAGTGCACGGGTTGTCGCCGGGGTCATGTTAAAAGCCATGACCTGTCAACCCTTTTTTCTTTTTTGGGCTTAAAGACCTCGAATCCCAACAAACCACGGGACCCACAGCCACCGAAGGAAAGTTTATGCACGCGTGGGCCGCCATGTCAAGGCTGGAGCTGCTGGAACTGCATGGGTTTCGTATCTCTTTTCAAGACAGCGCGAAACAGCCGCGACAAACCCCGCGACATACGTATGAAACAAGTGGGCGCGACATACGTATGTAACACAGGCGGGTGGCGGGACACCGCGACATACCCCTATTTAGAGCCACAGCCATATTTCTCCGTCAAAAAACGCAACAAAACGATCAACCCTCCACACCTGCGTTGTACAACTTAGATGTACTCGTTTTCTACAGCTTTCATTGTTTTCATCTGGTTTGTTACTTATTTTACTCGTGTGGGCCACAGAATTCCCTACATCATGTGCTTGTACAAGTGGATTTGCTTGGTTGCACAGCGTTCATTAATTTGATATGTGGGTGGTTGTCAAAATTATGGTCCCTTTTTGGGGTACCGGGTTTAAGGGACCAGGACAAGTACCTTGCATTTTTCCTTCACTGCCGGCGAGGTGGCAAGCAAGAAACCTTGGCTACAAGAAAGCGCGCGCAGCTTCAGGAGCAGCCTCCAAACGCAAGATCCTCCAAAGCCTTACTAACCCCAAACCATTTAACATACATCTCAATAAGTTAGCATTACTTCATGTTTACCGGAATGTTACTGATACTACTAACATTAGTAACGTGATACTCGGCATAGTAGGCATACTAGCTTACTAATATGATCAATAGCACAAGCAGGAGTAATTGTACTAGAAATTTCAATTCCATTGATATTGACGCTTACTAGTATCAGCAATAGTATTAGACTTGCAAACACTCATGTTACTCGCATTAATCATATTGCTAAATTCGTCTCAAATATAGAAATACCGCTGGAGCTGCCGATGCCAAACTGCTATGGTACTATTGTTACTTGTATTATTGACTCTGACGGTAGCAGGCTACAAACATTGCTCACACTACTAACGCATTAGTTATATCTAATTTGATGGTCTTGCATTCTTCGTGCTAGACTATATGTACTAATCGCAAGACTGGGAAGAGCAGTGATGCTGGTCAAATGGGGGGCATTGTTATAGTAACCGAGGAAAATCTGAACGTAAAACCAGCTCAGTTTTTGAAACACTCAAACTGTGTAAATCCGAAAATCCTTTTTTACGGACTCAGAAAAAGAATTAAAATGGCCTTTAGTCTGAGTTTTGGGACCTTAAAATTCTGTTAAACAATTTGAATAGTTTAGATAATTGGAACTATTTAAATCCGTAAACGGGATTTTCGGATTTACAAAATGTAAAGAATTGCTCGCCCCCCCCCCCGTCCCCCCATGATCCACACATTTAGCCTCGGGAAGGCTGTGGATGTGAGGTTGTTTTTTGGGGGGGGGACTCCAGACTCCAGATGTCCAGACTCCAGACTCCAGATTTCCAGAAAAAATTTGGAGCACCTCCAGACTCCAGACTTCAGATTCTGGAGTCTGTAATGGTAGTCCAGATTTTTTTCTGGAAATCTGGAGTCTGGAGTCCGGGGCCCCGGGTACTCCAGATTTTGCTGGAAATCTGGAGTCTGGAGTCCGGGGCCCTGGTACTCCAGATTGTTTTCTTCAAATCTGGAGTCTGGAGTCCGGGGCCCGGGTACTCTAGATCTTTTCTGGAAATCTGGAGTCTGGAGTCTGGGGCCCCGGGTACAGATTTTTTCTGCAAATCTGGAGTCTGGAGTCCGGGGCCCCGGAACTCCAGATGTTTTCTGGAAATCTGGAGTCTGGAGTCCGGGCCCTGGTACTCCAGATTGTTTTCTGGAAATCTGGAGTCTGGAGTCCGGGGCCCGAGTACTCCAGATTTTTTCTGGAAATGTAGTGTTTAGGGTTTCAGGGTTTAGTGTTTTGTGTTTAGGGTTGAGTGTTAAGTTTAGGGTCGAGGGTTTAGGTTTAGGGTTTAGGGTCAAGCGGCTTGGCTAAAACCCTAAACCAAATAAAACCCTAAACTCTAAAATCCAAACAGTAAGCATCTGAAGCCCTGACGGGTTTTTGGTTTCAGGTTTAGATTTAGTAGGGCTTGAGGTTCCGGCTTTGGGGTTTACTGTTTAGGGTTTAGGGCTTAGTGTTCAGGGTTTAGTGTGTAGGGTTTAGTGTGTGATGTTTAAGGTTTAGTTTTTTAGGGTGTGCTTAAGTGTTTAGGGTTTAGTATTTAGGGTTTAGTGCTTAAGTGTTTAGGGTTTCGTGTTAAAGTGTTTGGGGTTTGTGCTACGGGCTTAGTGTTGCGTTTTTAGGGTTAGTGTTTGGGGTCTAGTGCTGAGTGTTTAGGGTATAGTGTTAAGGGTTTCGGGTTTGGTTTTTAGGGTGAAGGGTGTTACAAATTTAAATGATCTGGGGAAGGCACCGGGGCTTCCCCAGACCATTGACAACTTTAAAAATCCTTCTGTTTAGGGCTTAGGGTTTAGTGTTCAGGGTTTAGTGTGTAGGGCTCAGTGTGTAATGCTTAGGGTTTAGTTTTAGGGTGTAGTGTTTAAGTGTTTAGGGTTTGGAGTTTAGGGTTTAGTGCTTAAGTGTTTAGGGTTTCGTGTTAAAGTGTTTGGGGTTTGTGCTACGGGCTTAGTGTTACGTTTTTAGGGTTAGTGTTTGGGGTCTAGTGCTTAGGGTTTAGGGTTTAGTGTTAAGGGTTTCGGGTTTGGTTTTTAGGGTGAAGGGTGTTACAAATTTAAATGATCTGGGGAAGGCACCGGGGCTTCCCCAGACCATTGACAACTTTAAAAATCCTTCTGTTTAGGGCTTAGGGTTTAGTGTTCAGGGTTTAGTGTGTAGGGCTCAGTGTGTAATGCTTAGGGTTTAGTTTTAGGGTGTAGTGTTTAAGTGTTTAGGGTTTGGAGTTTAGGGTTTAGTGCTTAAGTGTTTAGGGTTTCGTGTTAAAGTGTTTGGGGTTTGTGCTACGGGCTTAGTGTTACGTTTTTAGGGTTAGTGTTTGGGGTCTAGTGCTTAGGGTTTAGGGTTTAGTGTTAAGGGTTTCGGGTTTGGTTTTTAGGGTGAAGGGTGTTACAAATTTAAATGATCTGGGGAAGGCACCGGGGCTTCCCCAGACCATGTTTTCAAAAACATTTAGAAATTTGAATGGTCTAGGAAGGCACCGGGCTTCCCAGACCGTCTTAACTTTTAAAGTCCTTAAAATCATATCAAAATCCTCAAACTTCTGTTTAAAACATTCTCAGGGTTTGAAAGGTTTCAAGCCGTTTAAAAACCTTAAATTCTTATAAGTGGCTGCCCTTTTAGGATTTTAGGGTTTTTAAAGTTGTCAATTGGTCTGGAGAAGCTCCGGTGCTTCCCCAGACGATGTAAATTTTACAAGTCCTTACAACCCTGAAATTCTTACAGTTGTAATGGCTGTCCTTTTCAAGTTTAAGGTTTGAGGATGTTCAATTCTAAATCCAACTTCCTTAATTTTAAAACGGCTGCACTTTTAAAGTTTTTGGGTATTTTTAGAATTTTAAGGGATAAAAGTTGGAGGTTTTAAAGGGCGAAGCCTTTTAAAAATCTTTAGATCCTGAAAATTTTTATCCTTACGCTCTTGAAGCTTTAAAAGGCCTGCCGCTTAAAGTGTTTTAAGGTTTGAAATGGTCTGGGAAGCCCCGGTGCCTTCCGCAGATCATTAAATTTAAAAAACCCCCTGAAAAGCCTTAAAATTCTTAAGGCTGCCCTTCTAAAATTTTATGGAGCCGCAAGACACAAGTTTCAGAAGCAACATGCACATAAAAACACTAGTGTTTTTATAGGGGATAATATAATAGAGCGTTTTTCCGAGGAAAAGCAGAACATCAGACACAGACGAAGACAGGAAAACCAGGTGTGGATCATGGGGGGGGGGGGGGTGACCAAATAATTCCACTGGGGCCATTAGAAATTCTAATGGCCCCCTTTTGAATTATTTATGATACTTAAATCCGAAAATCCCTTTTACGGATTGAAAAGGCTTATCTTTTTGAGTTATATTGGGTCTTTTCTATATATTCAAGAAATACATGAGCTAAACAGACCCGAAAGGTTGCTCTCTCATATACATATACATATACACATACAGATACATATACATATACATATACATATACATATACATATACATTTTTTATATACGTATACGCACGCATACATGTATCTCTCTCTTGCTCTCTCCCTGCGACTCCCTCTCTCTCTCTCTCTTTTTCTCTCTTTCTCTACATTTTTTTTTTCTCTCTCTCGCTCTCTCTCTTTCTCTCTCGCGCCTTCAGTCTAGCAAAAGAACGGTGCAAGATCGGCTGATGGATTGCGGAGTGATATGCAATGATGTGTGTCAGCAGGGTCGGCAGCCGGATCGGCGCGGAGTTCTCGAAGCAATCTGTCCGGGAGGACGTCAGAGCATCATGGAATGCTCAATTCTAGCATTTGGCTAACAGGTTCGATTAAATGGCCTCTTTTCGGGTTTTAATGCGGGTCAGCCAGCACAAAAGCTTCCTTGCGCTTGTCATGTCAATGCCGACTACTGTGGCAGGCGTGTATGAGCAGGACCGTCGATGAGTCAAAAACCTGGGCATGTAAACACAAGACAAGCCTGTATTGCTATGACAGGAAATGCCACGCGTGCCGTATTGCTCAGCATAGTTTCAGCCATGATCAGAAACGATGACACATCACGGCGTCAAAATCAAGGCATTGACGAACAACGGAGCTATAAGCGGCGTGACAGAAATGACACGCCTGTCGCAGTTTTCGGCGTTGACATGGAGAGTGCAAGAAACCGTCTGGTGGCCCGAATAAAAATCCGAAAAACAGTCCCAGTAAATCAGCCTGCTAGCAGGGCTTATGGTGCAGGCTTCTAGGGTTATGTAGGGTTCAGCATGGTATGAGGGTTGTGGATTCCAGAGTTTTCGGGTTTCGGATGGTCTCGGGGGATGCCAGACTTTAGGGTGGATGGTCCCAGGTTTTCCAGGGTTTAGGGTTTAGGATGCTCGGCTTAAGGGTCGAGGGTCCAGGGGTTTCTGGGGGTTTAGGACTCGAGGCTTTACGGTTTAGGATTCTAACATAGCTTGAAGCTGCCAAGGTTGATGAGCAACTGCAGAGTGTGCCCCCCCCCCCCCCCCTCGCCCTACACACTTGCACAATCCTCTGCCTGGCTCTGGACGTTGCCTGAAACCTACTCTCAGAAGTGGAGACGTAAAACCACAAAGGTTAGTTCTAGCCCCGTTTCATGACAACATATCAGGATGGGGAAAATCGCGTTCATACACTGGCCATCATCATCATCATCATCATCATCATCATCATCATCATCATCATCATCATCATCATCATCATCATCATCAGAGTCATTTCTCTTCAAAGGCAGACCGACAAGGGCGAAGCGTGCAAGGGCTAACTATGGTGCATAGGGGCCCACGAAGATGCAGCACAGCCCAGTGAGGGTTGCTGCCTTTGCAAATCTCAGAAGCCTAAGGGTGGTCCATAGGGGGTCCAGCGCGGCCCAAAAGTCCAGGATGGTCCAGACGCGACCCATAGAGGTCCGCCCAGAAGGGCTCCATATTTACGTGGATCTGAATCCGTGCGGCAAAATGGTGAAAAGCTACGCCGCCCCAGAGGAACTTCGGGACAGAGCGGAATTCGAATAAAGAACGCCCCCTGGTTACGAACATGTGTGATGCGCAGTGGTGACTGTATGCTCCCTACTCCCGATTCTAATTGCACCGGCAAATCATCTTTCCAGTTAGCTCTCAGGAGCATCGGCTCAGGGCGAATATACACGCCCACTCCTGCAGAGGCTTGGGCACGGAGTGCATGTGGACATGTCCCCTTAGCCATTGAGATTGTCTGGGATGCTGTTTCGTTGGCCCATGTGCATGAGAAATTGATTTAGCTTGCACTACTTGTCATGCAGGCTGCCGTCTGTGGCGCGTATCCATCCGGTCCGTTTCCTGATCTGAGTGCCAGGATGATGAACCGCGCTCTCATAGCACACTGTGTCGATTGTAAATGGTTGGTGTCGAGGACTTCCACCTTCTATACGCCGGAGCCGTCTGCGCGGTCTTCTGACTTTGCCTCGCTGTATGATGCTAGTTCTTCCGTGGCTAGGCTCAATTCATGGGCTTGATGTGAGGGGCAATTAGGGGCAGACTGGAGGCACACAGGTTGAAAGCAGCTTGTAAGGTGGGTTCAGCTCGCATAGCTGAACTTGGAAGCTTGTACGAGCATGGCCTGGTGCCAAGCCGCTGTATAGGCGTGGCCCGAGCCTGGCTTTGCATGCTCTTATGCGCGCCGAGGTATCACGCACAGCCAGCCGCTTCAACGTCGAGAGGCCGCAACAAGAAGCATTGTCACTTGCACATGAAACGGTGTGTAAAGCAGGCTGATAGGCGCAAGCAGAAAGCTGTCATGGCAGCGGCCTTCGATGCGTCTGAGCCCTTGCTTGCCATGTGGGTATGAAAATGTGCATCCCTGTATCACCTTTGAGCCTTTGAGGTTTGCGCCATCTGCTGAGCCAAGTAGGACCCCGCCACCGCCACCAGGCACCGTAATGGCAAAGGCTTGCAAGCATGTCTAATTAAGCCGCTGACCAACTTTGACATCAAAAGGTGCGGTGAGGGAACAGTCCGAGGAAGAGATGTCTTTAGATCCTCGACAGGCGCGAAGAATGCCTGGAATTCCTAGCATGATGCGAGTATTGCCAGGAGCAGGTTTCGTGTAAGAAAACGAAAGAAGTTGACAGGTGTACAGTGCAGCCAGACATGGCAGGCCTTGGGAGGGCCTCTAGCACATGAAATCGATGTCAAGCAACTATGGAGAGCAAAACCTGATGATCGAAACAATCCGCATGGACGGCCACAGCTTGTTCGTGTGCCGTCCCGTGTTGCAGCTGCTGCATGATGGTGCAGGCATAAGGAAGTGGAGGCAGCTCTTTTGGCTGGCTTCAACCCAGATTATGCAGATTCGTTTGGTTTGCTACTCAACAGATCTTGAGAACTGAGGAGAAACTTGTGGGTATATGTTTCATGGCCTTTTCTGTCCGAGGCAATCGACTCTTTCATGTTGCTTGCCAAAATGGCAACAAGCGAATATGCAAGCTTGCCAGAGACTTGGATGAGGCTGTGATGCGGCTAGTGCTTGTGTTGAGCTCATGGAACCAAGCTCAGGCCATCAAGTATGGTGGCGACATGGATGCACAAAACCTGAAAGGCAAGCAGCCCAAATCACGGGAGCGCGCGATGCTCTTCATGACTCAGTTCTTTGCTGTGCAAGGCAATACGGGTCTGCACTTCCTTTTCGCATATGGCTATGCAGACATTGCGGAGTATTTCATTGAGAAGGCTCTACATGAGACTGCAGTTGTCTAGCTGCACTTGCTTGGAGCTTGTGCCGGATGTCGCGTTGCTATGTGCATTGCGCCAGGGTGCAGATGATACAATAGTTAATGAGACTGGCAAGACCGCCAGAGAGGGCATTCGCTGAAGCGATGCTTCCGTCATTTTAAAGCATGGGTTTCACAGGTTGCCGGAGAGCGCCAGTCCATGACAAGAAAGTTAAGTGCGACGATCTGGACTTTGTGTGATGTTGTGTTGTAACATGCTGTACCTGCTCCGAGTTCTGACATCAACAGCTCATGGTTGCCGTTCTGATGGGTTGCGTGACATGATGTGCACATCGTAGCCAGCGCTGGGAGCTCTAGCGCTGGAAGCTCTACGAGAATTGCAAGCTGCGAGCTACAAAAAGGTCCAATGATGGCTTCGTGTTTGTTCGTGAGCAACTTGATATTATTGTCATCTGTCGAGAGTTGCAGTCAGCTCAGTCATGGATGGGAATGTGACCTCACGTACTGTGCATAGTGGGTCCCCGATATCCGATTGTTTGGGCTCGAGTGAATTCAAATCTAGATTCCAAGCCCTGCGAGGCTTGGGCAGAGCCAAGTTTGAGCTGATGTGTTTGTCACAGCCCCCGGGCCTGGCTCTTCTAGCTGTTGCTGCAGGCGATTTCTATGTGTGGGATTTTTGCCTACATTGGGGACAAGGAGGTGCAGAAAGCTCAGAAAGCAAGAAAAACGAAGAATAGCCAAGTCGGATTTGAAGGCTGCGAGGCTGTGAGGCTGTGAGGCTGTGAGGTTGCGTGGCCTGCTTCCAAATCGAAGGCTGTACTCCTGCCCCCACCACAAGCCCCCATCTCATCTTGTGCTTCCTTCCTCCTGCATGCCCATATGCCGTGTAGCATCGACATCAGCGCAGGGGCCTCGTTTCAGACACACTGCTGATGCAAGCATGGGCCAGGCAGCCTCCCTGCTGGTAACCGCGCTTAAACGACTCGAGTGCGGAATCCAAGTCTATTTGACTGCAATCTAGATGCACGAAGCTCTATGACCAAGATATCGTGGATATGACTCCGCTGGCATCGGCATCCATGGCGGCCCCGGCGTTCCTTTGAAGGTCCGCAAGAAGGTCGGGAAGGCCCGGCGCACGTCTTCGGAACCATCGTTTCTTGGGCAGAGACCAACAGAATCGACAAGGTCTCCAACTTGGAGGCGGAAGTGGCGCATGCGGGCAACCAGGTTTCTGGAACGCTGGGCATTGCGTGGGGGCCCTACTTCGTGTGCACCAGGGCCGTTGGTGTTCTTTCTGACAGTCCCAGGCACACCAGATGGGCAACTCACGGCAAGCCTTCGGACATCAACTCACATCCACACACGACAGCAGAGTCGAGTTCGGATCTCATCAGTCGCTAGTCTGTGGATGGGCTAGGAGTCAGTCCTTGGCGCGACAGGCATTGCTGTAGTGCACAATGGAGTTATCGAGAACTATGCCGCGCTGAAGGAGCAGTCGCCTCCACAGATTTTTCCCAGCGGACAACTGCTGTCTCTATGGCAAGCTCTTTTTTAAGCGTCTTTTTGCCCAGGCTTTCCAGCAAGGGCTACAAGTTTGTCAGTCAGACGGACACCGAGCTGCTTGCTCATCTAGTCCAGGACACAAGCAACAAGTTTTCAGCTGCGTGTATGCGGTGTCTATCGAGCTCCCCGTTGTACTTGTTTTGTGCAGGACCTCAAAAAGCAGATGTCAGAGGCAACCTACACCGAGGCAGAGCTTGTAGTCTCTTTCTTGCTCTGCGCCAGAAGGCTTAGAAAGGAGAAGACTGAAAGAAGGAGGATGCGAATGCTGTACTAGTATGTGGGGTTGGTTTAGTTGCAAATGATCTAGATGCGTGAGCCGCGAAATTCATGGTTCTTACATTTTGATATATCTATGTTCAATGCGGCTCTTTAAACTTTGTGATTGGTGCCTTCACTTTCGTCTTATCTTTTCGTTATGCACAATGTAATGGAACAATATTCAAGCATTGTTTTGCTGCCAGGTTGTCGCGACAGCTCTCCGACTCTGTGAGGGAGCTTATGGAGTGGCCTTCATCTTTGAGGACCGCGGACGCTCCGGCATGTACAACCATCGCGTTCGTGTCATCGTGTTCGCCATCTCGAATGAGTGTCTGCGTGTCAGCTTGTGTGCTTTGCGTTGCTATATGTTGCTGCGCGCTTCGCATTTTTGTCTCGAGCACTCGCGGCTGCCCAGATCTGTGCTGCTCAGTACTTTCAATGTCGTTGAAACCGGAGTTCACCGTGGAGACAGGGTCGCCAACAGCCTCGACTTTTGAGGATGGAGACACGCCACGTGTCTCAGATTCTGGGGACTCTGGTTCTGGTGAAGGTACTTCGCAGGCAGAATCGGAGGGTGAGCGGGCAGCGAAGGCCAAGTACCTGTTCAGATTGGGAATAGCTGGCCGTGCGGCACCACCAGACGCCGTGCCACGTGACGCTGTATACCAGTCTAGAGAGGACAGGCCGAAGCAACACTGCACCCTGATAATCTTCGATTGGGACGACACACTCCTTTGTACCTCTGCCATCCAGTCTACTCGGCCACCTGGCCAGAAGGATCTCTTGGCCTTAGAAGCTGAAGGCATAAAGTTGCTGGAACTGGCAAAGACGTTAGGGACCGTGATCATTATCACAAACGCGATTGAAGGCTGGGTGCAGCATAGCGCAGACAAGTACTTGCCCACCCTGGCCAAGCATCTCAAAGACGTAGAGATCGTCAGTGCAAGGGCAAGGTTCGAGGACACCTTCCCAGATGATCCAACGCAGTGGAAAGTAGAAGCATTCTGTCAGGTCAAAGAGAACTCTCAAACGATTGCCAATTTGGTTGCGCTAGGTGACAGCACTGCAGAAATGGAAGCGCTCCATGCTATGGCTAAGCTGTATCACATCTCCTACACCAAAACCATTAAGTTCAAGGGGAAGCCTCGGTGTGTGGAGCTTCAGCAAGAGATCAGCCTGGTGCAGCAAAAGCTGGCAAACATTGTTGTCGCAGTCAGGAACTATGACATACGTTTGCAGCAGAAGCAGTAACTGTAAGCCTTTTGCGGATGATTTGTACAGGTAAGACCAGTGCATGGTGCCAGTGCATCAGTCGCCGAAGCCTGCATGTGGTTGCAATTCTCCGATCAGCATGCATGCCGTGGAAACAGCCACCTAAACGCTACTGCTGGAAAGCCTCAGCATATCAGCAAATTGGCAAATGGCCCATGTCTCACCAGTGCATTCGGAAGTGACAAGACCTCTCACCAGCCTGTGGAGTCACAACGGGTATGCACCTGCTTTGAAGCTGTTTTACGGGTTTGCGTTCATGTGCTACAGGTCTTACAACCTGCATTGACAGTAAAGTCTCCAAATGTTGAAACATGATAAAAGGTGTTTTTAGCTGATGAAATCCTCTGATAGGGATTAAGGTGCTGCAAAGCCGCCCCCTATTTTAAGCACGTCGACCGGAGCATTACACTCTGCATCAATCATTTTGTCATCACCTGTCATGTCACATGGTGAGCAAATGTGAGCAAGCAGCGGATGTTCATGCTTGGATTGAAGCGGGTCGCTTGCAGAGAATTCCAACAGGTAGGCGCGTCTAAGCATCATGCAGCAAGGGTCCTTGTGTTTGCTGTCTGCGAGGACGAGCCAGACCTCCTCATCGGGGCAAGAAAGGGTTCACCGTTAATTCTTGGAGCGCTTTGCTTAGATTTCCACGTAGACTTTACCAGGGCATGCAAGTGGTCAGTGTGGATGTTTTAATGTGTCTAGGATGATGTACTTGGGAGCAACCGTTGTATCTGCAACCCAGACACAGACCTGAAGTTGAAAATCTCCATAGCTTCCTCGGGTCCGGGTGATTCTCAATGTTCCGCACGTCCGTCTAGGCCAGCCGAAGAGGTTTGTTCTGGGGTGGTATTTAGGGTCTCGGGCTTAAGGGTGGGTGGGTGGGCTTTCCCTTAGATTTGTTTGTCGTTTTCTTGTCTATTTGTTTTAGACACTTGCTCGTGCCAACCATGTGTCCGAAACAAGCCGCCGTGCATGAAAATGGTTGGCCCTTGTGTCACACCATGCGTTACGTTCGAAATGAACACCTGGAACTTGGGAGGCCCGCATCAGTTTTGTGTAGGGTTTAAGGACTTTTGGGGGCTATGGTGTGCTGGGGTGCATGTTTGGTGCATGGTGTTTATGGACTCTTTCGTTAGGATGTGTGGGGTCTGGAAGGTCTTGGGACACCCCCCCACAGCCTAAACCAGAATGCCAAAACAAGCTGAGCTAGAACGATGCGCTCACCCCTACAGCACAGGCAACCATTCTGTGCAGTAGCATCATGTCGATGTTGCTTGGGCTCCATGAAAGCTTGTCGTTGCCGACATAATTAGCCATATGCCGCATGGAGGTAGCGCATTCAGCGGCGAAGAGTAAACAGCTTCTTGAAGATATACAGAGGATGTGCATAATCAACTACAGCATCGTTGTTGCTGGACACTGAATACGACAATGGTGCGTGTTCTGAGTTCTGCAAGGTCGGGCATGGAGAACACATGCTTGCTAGTGATGCTTCTGCCATCATCGAGCATACCAAGGCCACTGCTGTGTTGGTGGAGTCGCCACAGGGCCCGGTGTTCTGATCTAAAGTCTTTGTGCAGGACGTCGTGTACTTGCGTGAGGGTGAGCTCGTTGAATGCCGGAGATCTGGATTCAAGGCGTGAGGACCCAGATGTTTTGTGCGGGTCACTACACAGCGGCCATTTGCATCGCAGCCTTGCGCTCTGCTTCCTTTTTGCTTGGGGTTTGAGCTCGTACTCCAAGTTGCTTCATCGTAAGCCTGACTGAATGAAGGTGACCCAACTACAAAAGATTGTCTCCGATTTGGGGAAGAGTTCATGGAGTCCTCGCAAGGATGTGTGTTCCTGAGAAGCCTTGAGCTAGCAGCATCCTTGTTTGCATCAGATGCATCCATGTGCATCCTGCTGCTCTAGGAAGAGAACCCAATCGTGAGGATTGAGCTGTCGTGTCAAGCTCAGTCTGATCGAGACTGCATCCGCCTCGTTGTGAGCATTGAAGGCTTAGAAAGTTTAGGCTCGGTTTGTCACCCGAGGCTGGAGCAAATCGAGAAGGGCGGCTTCAAGCACTTCATGCTTAAAGAAATCATGGCCGGGGACTGTCTGGTTGCCTTCAACTATCGTAGAAGTTTCGATACCGGTCCTGAGATCTCCAAGGATCAGCCGAATGCCATGCGCAATGCACTACGTGGGCGGATCTATCAGCCTGTGGACCTTGCAGCTCGTTTCCTGCAAGACAACTTTCAATGCCCGTGGCCGTCATCTAAATCCAAGATATCCAAGCAGGACACGCCCGACAAGTGGGAAATCAAGTTGGGAGGGCTGGAGAAGGCTGCACGGGTAGAATCTGCATTGGCAGTTCTGTTGCTTGCCTCCTTCGTACGCATCCTCTTCACAGGCGAAAGAGGGCCTGTCCGCCGATGGCACCAGCCCGTTGGCCACTTGGCTGGATGATTAGATGAATTGCTCAATTAGGAATGGGTGAGATGTGTGAGAAGTCAACAGATTCTACACTGTTTTGCCTGTCGCCCGAGGAAAGGATGGCAAAGGCCAGCAGATTGATCTTTGCCGCTTGCGGAACTTCCTGGCACTCCTCGCTCATTGCGAAGTACGCATCGAACCTACTTCTGCCCACCATGGCAAGAGCATCACCATCTCAATCTCACATCAGCTTTGTGATCATCCCGCAGCCCACTGCAAGGCCTTCGAGAAGCTGGCTGGAGTGGCTGCCGAAGTGGAGTACGCTCACGGCTCAGAGATTGTCGGGGCCATCTTTGCCACTTGAAGCTCATTTCTTCTCTTGCTGCTCTCCAATTTCAATTCTTCTTTAATGCAACAAAAGCCAGTGCGACGTAACAAGACCCGAAGCAGAAACCGGGCTTCTGCCATGCTTACTTGCACAGCTTTACCAGCACTGTGAGGACGTGTTCATGATTTAGACGTGCTTTCAGATTTGGGTCACCCGAACTTCCAGCTGCCAATCATGTGAGATCCAGTAGGAGGTTGAGTGCGGCCAATCGTCCGGCAATAGCAGCAGCGGGCACTTCATTGAATCGCGGGAAGGAAGCCAGCAGCCCTGAAGAATCTAGCACTCTGCTCGAGTTATCAGAGTGATTGCTGCGTCAAGGCCCCTGAGTCGAAAACCAGAAAACACCTGAACCCCCGAAGCCTACTCCTCTCCCATGCAGTTCGAGGGTTTGGGGGGTTTTTCGGTTTTTTTTTGGGGTGCTTAGGCTCCCGTGCAGTTCGAGGGTTTAGGGGTTTTTGGGGTTTTAGGGGTTTTTAGGGGTTAGGGTATAGGGGTTTTCGGGCTTCGGGTTTAGGGGGTTTAAGGGTTTTGGGTTTGGGTTTTTTTGGGGGTTTAGGGTTTAGGGTTTGTTTAGAGTTTAGGGGTTTTCAGGGTTTAGGGTTTTTCGGTTTAGGGCTCAGGGGTTTTAGGTTGTAGGTGTTTTCAGGGTTTTGGCTTTAGGGGCTTTTTGGGGTATAGGGTTTCGGGTTTTTAGGGTTTTGGGGGGTCGATATTTTAGGGTTTAGGGTTTAGGGGTTGTAGGGTGTAGGGTTTAGGGGCCTTTTGGGATTTAGGATTTCGGGTTTTTAGGATTTAGGGTTTAGGGTTTGTTAAGAGTTTATGGGTTTAGGGTTTTTTCGGTTTAGGGCTCAGGTTTTTTTGGGCTTTAGGGTTGTTTAGGGTTAAGCGTTCGGGGGCTTTTTGGGGTTTGGGGTTTCGGGGCTTTTAGGGTTTAGGGGTTTTTAGGGCTTCGGGCTTCGGGCATTTTTGGGGGTTTTTAGGCATAGGGACCTATCTGGAAGAGATCGGGCTCAATCGCGGCTTGACAAGCAGGGGGGTTGGGGGGCGGGGGAGCGCAGCCCCCCCTCCCATTTGCAAACACACCACACGCATGATGGGGTTCGAAAAAAGAAAAAGCTCGGGGGAGCTTGGGGAGGGGCGCAGCCCCCCATTTGCAAACATAATGCTCGCATGGGTTTAGGGGTATGTAGGGTTTAGGGTCCAGGATTTTTTGGGGTTCAGGGCTTACAGTTTTTTTTGGGTCCGGTTTTCGGGGTTTCGAGTTTGGGGGGTTGTTCGGGGAGGGCGTTTTTTTTTGCTTCCCTTTTTTTTTGTTTTTTTGCTTCCCTTTTTTTTTTTTCTGGGGTCCTCGTGTTCTCCAGTCTCAAGACAGGAAGCAAACCAGAGAGAAGGAAAGAAAGAAAGAAAGAAAGAAAGAAAGAGAGAGAGAAAGAAAGAAAGAAAGAAAGAAAGAAAGAAAGAAAGAAAGAAAGAAAGAAAGAAAGAAAGAAAGAAAGAAAGAAAGAAAGAAAGAAAAAAAGAAAGAAAGAAAGAAAGAAAGAAAGAAAGAAAGAAAGAAAGAAAGAAAGAAAGAAAGAAAGAAAGAAAGAAAGAAAGAAGAAGGAAAGAAGGAAAGCAGGACAAGAAAGAAAGAAAGCAAGAGAGAAAGAAAGAAAGAAAGAAAGAAATAAAGAAAGAAAGAAAGAAAGAGAGAAACATAGAAAGAAAGAAAGCAAGAAAGAAAGAAAGAACGAGAGAAAGAGAGAAAGAAAGAAAGAAAGAAAGAAAGAAAGAACGAAAGAAAAGCAGGCAGAAAGACAGAAAGAAGAACGAAAGAAAGAAAAAAAAGAAAGCAAGGAAGAAAGAACGAAAGAGAGAAAGAAAGAAAGAAAGAAAGAAAGAAAGAAAGAGACAAAGAAAGAAAAGGAAGGAAAGAAAGAAGGAAAGCAAGACAAGAAAGAAAGAAAGAGATAAAGAAAGAAAGAAAGAGAGAAGGAAAGAAAGAAAGAAAGAAAGAAAGAAAGAAAGAAAGAAAGAAAGAAAGAAAGAAAGAAAGAAAGGAAGACAGAAAGAAAGAAAGAAAGAGAGAAAGAAAGAAAGAAAGAACGAAAGAAAGAAAGAACAACAGGCAGAAAGACAGAAAGAAGAAAGAAAGAAAGAAAGAAAGCAAGGAAGAAAGAAAGAACGAGAGAAAGAGAGAAAGAAAGAAAGACAGAAGGAAAGAAAGAAAGAAAGAACGAGAAGCAGGCAGAAAGACAGAAAGAAGAAAGAAAGAACAAAAAAAGACAGCAAGAAAGACAGAAAGGAAGAGAGAAAGAAAGAAAGAAAGAAAGAAAGAGAGAGAGAAAGAAAGAAACTACTACTACTACTAGAAAGAAAGAATGAAAGACGGCAAGAACAGAAAGGAGTAAAGAAAGGAGGCAAACAATAGGAAAGAAAGAACGAAAGAAAGTCAGCCAGAAAGAAAGAAAGAAGGAAACACAAACAACAGAAAGGAGTAAAGAAAGGAAGCCAACAATAGAGAAGGAAAGAATGAAAGAATGAAAGAAAGAACGAAAGTAAGCCCTGAACCCCGAAGCCTTGAACCCCTGAACCCTAAACCCGCTAATGTATATATATATATATACGTTAATATATATATATATATGACTAGATATACATATACATATAGATACTTATTTCATGGACGACATACATGTAAGAAATATATGGTATGTATATATATACTCGATATATAGTCTACATAGTATACATATAGCGTTTATAGTATATATAAATATGATATATAGGAGATACTGTACATACAGTATATATATATATATATATATATAGTAGATATAGTATATCTGGTATACATAGTACAGACAACAAACAAAAATATAAATATACATAGTATATATAAAGCATAATATATATATATATAGTACATCATATATATAAATATGTATATTATAGTAAATTTACTCTGCGTATGTCTATATATATACATATACACAAAGTATCTAGAATATATATAGTTTATATAAGATAAATATATATATATATATATGTAGTATACTCTACTGGAGTATAGTATAGTATAGTATACTATACTATACTATACTATAGGACACAATACTGTACTGTACCGTACTGTACGACGATGACGAGGACGACGACTAGTACTACGACGAGTAGCAGTAGTACCACTACTACCACTGCTACTGCTACTTCTAGTAGTAGTAGTAGTAGTAGTAGTAGTAGTAGTAGTAGTAGTAGTAGTAGTAGTAGTAGTAGTAGTAGTAGTAGTAGTAGTAGTAGTAGTAGAAAGAGAGAAAGCAAGAAAGAAAGAGAGAAAGATTGTGTTTGCAAATGGGGGGGGCTGCGCCCCCTCCCCCCCCCCCGCTTTTTTTTAGCCGTGCAAGCTTGCTTCAAAGCATATGAAACTTTGTTTGAAACCCATCATGCAGGCCTTGTGTTTGCAAATGGGGGGGGCTGCGCCCCCCCCAACCCCCCCGCTTTTTTTAGCCGTGCAAAGCTTGCTTCAAAGCAGATGAGTCACCTTAAACTTTTTTTTTGAAAAAAAAACCCATCATGCCGCATTGTGTTTTGCAAACATAGGGGGGGCTGCCGCCCCCCCAACCCCCGCCTTTTTTTTAAGCCGTGCAAGCTTGCTTCAAAGCATATGAAACTTTTTTTTGAAACCCATCATGCAGGCATTGTGTTTGCAAATGGGGGGGGGGGCTGCGCCCCCCCCAACCCCTCGCTTTTTTTAAGCCGTGCAAGCTTGCTTCAAAGCATATGAAACTTTTATTGAAACCCATCATGCAAGCATTGTGTTTGCAAATGGGGGGGGCTGCGCCCCCCCCAACCCCCCCGCTTTTTTTAAGCCGTGCAAGCTTGCTGCAAAGCATCTGAAACTTTTTTGAAACCCATCATGCAAGCATTGTGTTTGCAAATGGGGGGGGGCTGCGCCCCGCCCAACCCCCCCGCTTCTTTTTAAGCCGTGCAAGCTTGCTTCAAAGCATATGAAACTTTTTTTGAAACCCATCATGCAAGCATTGTGTTTGCAAATGGGGGGGGCTGCGCCGCCCCCAACCCCCCCCCTTTTTTTAAGCCGTGCAAGCTTGCTTCAAAGCGTATGAAACTTTTTTTGAAACCCATCATGCAAGCATTGTGTTTGCAAATGGGGGGGGCTGCGCCCCCCCCCAACCCCCCCGCTTTTTTTAAGCCGTGCAAGCTTGCTTCAAAGCATATTGAAACTTTTTTTGAAACCCATCATGCAAGCATTGTGTTTGCAAATGGGGGGCTGCCCCCCCCCCCCCCCAACCCCACGGCTTTTCTAAGCCGTGCAAACTTGCTTCAAGCATATGAAATCTTTTTTGAATACGCATCCTGCAAGCTTGCGTTTGCAAATTGGGGGGGGTGGGGCTGCCCCCCCCCCCAACCCCCCCACTTTTTTTAAGCCGTGCAAGCTTGCTTCAGAGCATATGAAACTTTTTTTGAAACCCATCATGCAAGCATTGTGTTTGCAAATGGGGGGGCTGCGCCCCCCCCCAACCCCCCCGCTTTGTTTAAGCCGTGCAAGCTTGCTCCAAAGCATATGAAACTTTTTTTTGAAACCCATCATGCAAGCATTGTGTTTGCAAATGGGGGGGGCTGCGCCCCCCCCAACCCCCCCGCTTTTTTTTAGCCGTGCAAGCTTGCTTCAAAGCATATCAATCTGAAACCCATCATGAAGCATTGAGTTTGCAAATGGGGGGGCTTCGCCCCCAAAACCCCCCGCTGCTGTTTTAAACCGTGAAGCTTGTTAACAGCATATGAATCTTGAACACCAATATGCAAGCATTGATTTGCAAATGGGGGGGGTTTGCGCCCCCCACCCAACCGCCGCTTTTTAGCCGTTGCAAGCTTGCTTCAAAGGCATTGAAATTTGAAACCTACACTGCAAGCATTGAGTTTGCAAAATGGGGGGGCTGCGCCCCCCCCAACCCCACCGCTTTTTTAGCCGTCTTGAAACCTACATGCAAGCATTGAGTTTGCAAATGGGGGGGGCTGCGCCCCCCCCAACCCCCCCACTTTTTTAAGCCGTGCAAGCTTGTTTTAAAGCATATGAATCTTTTTGAAACCCATCATGCAAGCATTGAGTTTGCAAATGGGGGGGGCTGCGCCCCCCCCAACCCCCCCGCTTTTTTTTAGCCGTGCAAGCTTGCTTCAAAGCATATGAATCTTTTTGAAACCCATCATGCAAGCATTGAGTTTGCAAATGGGGGGGGCTGTGCCCCCCCCAACCCCCCCGCTTTTTTAAGCCGTGCAAGCTTGTTTCAAAGCATATGAATCTTTTTGAAACCCATCATGCAAGCATTGAGTTTGCAAATGGGGGGGGGGCTGTGCCCCCCCCAACCCCCCTGCTTTTTTAAGCCGTGCAAGCTTGCTTCAAAGCATATGAATCTTGAAACCTACATGCAAGCATTGAGTTTGCAAATGGGGGGGGGGGCTGCGCCCCCCCCAACCCCCCGCTTTTACATATACATTTACATTTACATTTACATTTGCATTTACATATACATATACATATACATATATATATATAGATAGATAGTGTATTATATATCTATATATATATATACAATACTAAATAGCATATTATCGTATACAATTTTGAAATAATAAATATAAATCAACAAATAACTGTATATATATATATATGTATATATATTATTTATTTATCTTTACATGTTTATATAAGAGCATATGATTTATATCCAACCTCTGAAAACACAGAAATGCTGCTATTTACAGTATTTGCAGTGTCTGACAACGCAGAAATGCTGCCATTTACAGTATCTGAAGCCTCTGAAAACACAGTAATGCTGCGATTTATGCCCTTCGTTGCAGCGTCTGAAAAACCCAGAAATGCTGCTATATACATTTGATGTCAGAAATGCTGCTACGTACAGTATTTGCAGCCAACGCAACGCAGAAACTCTGCTATTTGCAGTACTTGAAGCCTCTGACGCAGAAATGCTGCTATTTACAGTATTGGAAGCCGCTGACAACACAGAAATGCTGCTATTTATAGTCTTGGAAGCTTCTGACAACGCAGAAATGCTGCTATTTACAGTATTTGAAGCCTCTGACAACGCAGAAATGCTGCTATTTATAGTATTGGTGCAGAATTTGCAGCCTCTGACAACGCAGAAATGCTGCTATTTACAGTATTTGCAGCCTCTGACAACGCAGAAATGCTGCTATTTACAGTATTTGAAGCCTCTGACAACGCAGAAATGCTGCCATTTGAAATATTTGAAGCCTCTGACAACGCAGAAATGCTGCTATTTACAGTATTTGCAGCCTCTCTAAACGCAGAAGTGCTGCTTTTTACAGTATTTGCGAAGCCAAGCTGAGCCACACCTTTAAAAAAAAAAGCGTCCGAGCCACACCTTTTAAAAAAAAGAACCCCCCCGCCGGTTTAGGGTTTTAGGGTTTTAATGGCTACGGCTCAAGGGTTTCGGCTTAAAATTCCTTCTTGAGTTCTTGTCCTTCTCCGATTCATGGCTGTGCCGACGGTTGCAATCGATGAAGAGGAGCTATCAGCCCCCTCAGGTGAAGAAAGCCCATCAAAGAGAAAGCGTGAAGATGAATTAGCTGTGCACCCTGAAGCTAGGCCCGATGATGGTGGAGAGTTGGTCCCAGCTTGGGTCTCTGGTTTACAGGCTTCGTTTTCAGCAGGCTTTAGAGAGATGAAGTCGATGATGGGTGACTACAACACTAGATTGCTTGCTTTGGAAGCTAGGGCGGAAGACCCTACACGCGACCCCAGAGTGGATGGCCTTGCAGAAAAGGTAGACAAGTTACACCAACTTGTCATGGAGGGGCGCTCGGAGGCCAAGACTTCCAGCAGTACCAAGCAAAGGCTGGGGCAGGACACAGCTACGGATCCGTGGTCTCAGTACTTGACGGGAAGATCGCATGGTAGGAATTCTGGCGCCCCCCTTCCTGCTCAAAGTGCCCCCTCTTTTACTTCATCGGCGGAGGAAACCGACCATTGCCACGTTGTTGTTGGAGGGTGGCCTTTCGACACATCGAAACGAGTGATCATGTCAGACATGGAAGGACTAGTTCGTGGTTTTGAACCGTGTCATTCTCAGTCCATTGAACGCATGGTTGTTTTTGGCCAGAGGGCCCAGGTTGGGCACATCTTCCTTTCCAGCCTGCCCCCTGGAGAATCTGCCGAAAGGTTCTATATCATGCAGAACAAATACTCAAACCAGCGAGCTACAGCTATGGGACCTCTCATGTGGATGGCACCGTCCAGGACTCCAGCCCGGAGACAGAAGAACAGAATCACTCGCAAGGCCCAAGAATGCCTTGCTAGCATTTGGGGTGAAGCTCCCAAACCTGAGATGGAGATTGGATGGTCCAGGCAGATAATTTGGATTGGCACAAGACGTGTTGCAGCCGCAGCACTTCAGGACCTCTATGCGACGGAGTGCGAAACAGTTACTTCCAAGGTCCTTGGGGAGGGCGAGCACACGCGATTCCACTTCAACTTGACTGCGTTGGGAGGGGTGACCGGGAAGGAAGCAGCCGATGTTACAATTAAGTTGCAAGAGTTCCAAGCCTGACAACTTGTACAGATGCCCAAGCTGAACTTCATGCATGCTGACTCTTGGAACGTGCAAGGCAAACCATTACCTTTTATCCTGGACTGGCTTAGGCTTGAGCACAACGTTGTGGATGTCCTCTCCCTTCAAGAGGTGGGAGGAACGAGCTCTTTGGTGGAGAAGCCTGGGGCCCCTGCTGAAGCCGGTTCTTTACGTGAATTCATTTTTGATGACAATGAACATCAGGCCTACATTGCTCTAGGTACCAGTGACCTTCAATCCCACTTAGCCCAGGTGATATTGCTCAACCGTGCAGGCGTTGATTGTGTTCTTGAGTCCTGCAAAGCTGAGCGATTGATAGGGGTTCACTACATTGAAGCTGTTACCAATGAGCATAGATGGGTTTATTCAGTCCACTTGCCTCACAATGACAACAGCGATGATATTTTCAACGCCAGCCTCGATGAGATCGCTAAGCATAGCAACACACACCAGGACGATGATGCGATTTTCATTGGTGACTTTAATGCAGAGTTTGGGACAGCCCGAGCCATTCAATTAGATGCTCTGTTCAATTCCTTTGGATATGTCTGCTTTCGTGCTGGAGTCCCGACGAGACACGGTAGGCATTCCTCTACTGAGTTGGACTATGCGTATGTTAGCCGCAAGCTTGCCTCCAAGTTGTGCAGACACATTGCCCAGCCCCCCAGACTACAGGTCCATGATGGTTCCAGAACTGCAATAGGCTCTGACCATGACAGGATCACGTTACACCTCCTACTTGAAGCTCGTCCCATGACTAAAGGACGCAAAGCCCGAAAAAGACCCAATAAGGGCAAGTGTGGCCGCTGGAGTGTTGGAGCCAATCTTGGAGATGTGCTCCCTTCTGTCAGAGACGGTTTCGCTGAGCTTAGTCTGCATGGCAAGTGGGAATCCCTCAAGCAAGTACAAGCAGTGGCCACTTATCCCACGCCCTCCCAGAAGTTCAGGGATAGCCAAAGCCTTAAAGACCTTTGTCGTCAGCGACGAGAGTGTCATGATGCAGCACGCAGACTGGAACTCACGAGGCTGGTGCTTGCCAGGCGCCGGGCAGAGAAGCTTGCCTGGTTGCAGGAACTTGAAAAAGCAGCAGCTGATGGTCATGCGCAGTCTATTCGTTACCTTCGCAATCGTACTAGACAACATTCTGACATGAGTGGACTGGTTCGGGCCAAAGGTGGTGACGTTGATGCTGCTGCTCGATGTGTCAAGGAGCACTTTCGTGAACTCTTCAGTCCGCAGATTCCCGCTGAACAAGAGGTGTCAGTCGAATCTATCTTCCGAGATCTTCAGCTTGCCACTGGTGAGTTTGCCATCAAATATTTTAGTGAGGAGGAGATTGCTGCTGGTCTGAGTAAGGGTAAGATGGGGAAGTCCACGGGCCTCAGTGGGATCTCGTATGAACTCTTGGTTGCCATGTGGTCAATGCCGGACGGACGCTTGATTTTGCGGGAATTTTTGAACAGTCTGCTTGAATCCTCAGAGCACCCGACAGAGATACACTGCAGTTTTGTGACGCTTGTCCCAAAACTTGCTGAGGTTGTCACTCCTGCACAGATACGCCCCATAAACCTCGTTGAAGCTTCTACTAAACTGTTTTGCACACTGCTGGTTCGTCGTCTCGTGGGTTGCTGGCCGGTGGCGCCATGCCAGTTTGGTGGCCTGCCGGGAGGGCAAGTCGCGGATGCGCTAGCCTCAGCACACTGGCAAACTTACTGCGAAAGTATTGCTGACAAGAGTAGGGTTTGGGTCAATGCTGATATGCAGGCGGCTTTTGACAGTATCCACCATGCATCCGTGGCCAGATTTGTTTGTGACCATACGAATCCGGAGCTTGCGCGTGAAGCCCTTCAGCTTCTCCGGGTTATATGCAGACCTTCGCTTCGCTTTGTGTACCAAGGGGAGGAGTGGCATATTGACCAGACTAGGGGAATACAACAGGGGCACACTTTCAGCTCTATTTTGTTCAGTTACCTCATAGGTCATGTGGTGCAAGAGCAGTTCACACAATGGGAGTCTGAAGGTGAAAGCAGTTTTTTCGGTCAATGGGGATGGCTTTTTGTTGATGATCTTATTTTACATTTTGATGACTGGACTGTGGCTAAGCGACTTCTCCCCAGGATACAGCAGGCCTTGCACACCATTGGACTTCAGTTCAATCCCGCCAAGACCCAAGTTTTTGCTAGGCCTGAGATGTTGGCCAGAGGTCGACGGGAAGTCCCTGATGATCATGTGCTACACCAGTACACCTGGACATCCGAGACTGCTTACCTACGTAAGCCCTTGCGCCACACTTCGGTCGGGGAAACCTCCTGGGACCTCTGGCTGCCTTTTGTCCAGCGTAGTGTACATCACGGAGTTGTACAGATGGCTCCTGTGCTTAAAGGTTTGACATGGGCACAGCCTGCATTGGCCCTGCATCTGCTGAATCGCTATGTTGGAAGCAAGTGGCTGTGGGCTACCCGGTGTTGGTCCCTACAGCATCTGGTATCAAAAAGGTAAACACTCTTCAGGCCACTGCGCTACAGTCGTTCATGCACCTTTTTATCCCTCAAGATGCAGGGCGGGATCAGGCCATGGTTTTGCATCGTTTGAGAAAACGAGGGACTTTGCTCTACCTTCAACGCCTCTGGTTTCTCCTGGACCATGCAGTGGAGAATGAGACTATGGGGTTACCTGGGTCATGTTCTTCGAAGACCTCCTCAACACCCGGCCCGCAAGTTACTGCTCGGCATGGCTTCCCTCCATAGACCCCAAGGTGGATTTCCTAATTCTCCACTGCACTGGCTCTTGCGGACGGCTAGCGCCGCGTATGGAGAAGATGTTCAGGTTGCCATGGTTCTTGCTAAAGCTGCTGACCGTGAGTGCTGGCGTGAGACTGGCAGAAGGCACTTTCACAGCATCAGCCTGGCAGAGATGCACAGTCATCTGCATGCCGGCCTGTGGAAGCGGTGGCAACATAGCATCTTACAGCATGTATCGTGGCTCTTCAATGTGGTCGTACTTTTCACTGGCTCGCAGCTCCGGATAGTGTGGGTTGACACTGAAGAGGGTCTGGTTGCCTGGGATATTGATGACATGTGTTCAGGCATTTGGCAGTTCTTTCACTATGCTCGCATGCGCTATCCGTTCTGGGTGTTTGAAATTAGCATGACCGAGACTCTGTATGAGTGTTATCCTGGTGTCGTGGGGCTGGCAAGTCGAGCCCTGGAGGAATATCATCAGGTCTGGAGTGTCTCTGTTGTATCAGATGAGCACATTGAGAGAGTTCGAGAGATTTCATAGCTTTTCAGGCGTTCAGGATTTCACAGCTTTCAGAAGCGTTCTGCTGCTAAGCAGCTTTGCCTGGCATCAAGGAGTCCCAGCTGCAAAAAAGGGTTTTAGGGTTTTAGGGTTTTAGGGTTTTAGGGTTTTAGGGTTTTAGGGTTTTAGGGTTTTAGGGTTTTAGGGTTTTAGGGTTTTAGGGTTTTAGGGTTTTAGGGTTTTAGGGTTTTAGGGTTTTAGGGTTTTAGGTGCAAAAAGGGTTTAGGGTTTTGGGTTTAGGGTTTAGGGCTTCCTGAGCCAGATCCCCCGAAGAACAGGTCTGGGTCGACACCGAGTTCGGCGGCATTCGGAATGCCTTCAAGCAGATCGACGACACCTGGGCGTTCAAGAAACTGGCACTTCTTTTTCTGTTTCCTGGTGCTGGGAGCTTCTAGGACCCTAGGATCCCCGTCCCACTGTCGGGGTTGACTAGGCGCACTCTGCATCCGGTCCTAAGCGCTGTAGGCGTGAGAGGCCTGTGCTCTATCAAAGATGCCGGCCGTCGGCCCCTGGATCTGCTTTTTGCACCATGTTCCCTGCCTGTCATCTCATGCGGCTCAGTGTTTAGACTGTAGCAAAGTCAAGGCCCGCCCCCCTCCCTCTCATTGTGGAGCCCGAATCACGGCCAGTACTTAGGGTTTATGGTTTAGGGTTTAGGGCTTAGGGTTTAGGGTTTAGGCACACCAATCTGAGGAAGACAACACGAAGTCCATCACAACCAAAGAGTTTGAGAAGGCTCTTCGGAACTTCAACTTCCCAAGGCAATCCAAGGCCTTGCCGCTCAGTTGAATTCATGACCTTAACACCTTCCCGCAAGATTACAAACCTTTGGTCCCCCTCCCACGACCAAAGAAACAAACAAGGACCTGTAGGTTTGAAAACCTAAGCCCTAAACCCTGAACACTAAATGTGCTGGCTCACAGTGCAGTCGGGCGAGTTGCTCAGACTCAGAGACAGCGCCCCTAAACACAAGGGCTTTTGGGGGGCCTTGCACTGTACCGTGGGATTTGGGTGAGACGAACGCATAAGAAACCCTACTAAAAGCACTAGCACACCTCTGGGGGCATCCCTCGATTCGAGGCAAGTCGGTGCACCTACCAGGGAGCCGTAAGCCCTAAGCCCTCAACCCGAAACCCTCCGAAAACCGAGGGCAAAAAGCCTAAACCCGGAAAACCACAACAAAAGACCCAGATTCTGAGTTTCGAAGCCCATACCATGCTCCCAACACGTGCCTCGAAGCCTGCGAGGTTCCAGATGTTGGACAAGGAGCCTGAAAGGGATCCAGGGTATGAGCCTTTCCACGATTTCGACACAATTGGCTCCATTCCATTTCACATTCGGAGAATACTTTGCTGGATGAAGACTTCGCCTTCGAAACGAACAGTGACCAAGCTCCTTTTCCTTTGCTCCTTACTAGTTAGTCTGTTTGCTCGCTCTCTGTCTGGCTTGGTCTGTCATCCTTGCCCGCCTTGTCCATGCAGGATGCCAACGGCAAGCTGGAAATGGAAGACCTCATCTTCCTTGAGACTCTTGGCACTACCCCTTCGGGTTTTCACTTTGGCTTTACAATACAGTGTGTGGGCGCAAACTACATCGTGGGGTTCCTGCGTTGACGGCTCTTTACTTCGCGCTCCCCGTGGCATCAGTTGATGTCACTAAAGCATGGCAACGCGGGGCCGGGGGTTTGCACACTTCGTGGTGTTTGAATTGGCGCTCCCACCTCCGCGTGCTCCTTGCGAAGGGCCGCTTCGAAAGAGTGCTCTCGTCTCAGTCCCGGGTGCATCCCGTCTACAATGCGCGTGTCGCGGTCTTACTTCCACCGTTTGGGTCCAGGCGAACATTTAAACTTTTTAAACTTGGTTGGGGTGTATGGTTGGCTGTTGAGTCTAGAGTTCAATCAAGTTCGGGATTGCTGAAACGAGTTTGCATCTGGGCCGACGTTGTGAGAACGCGGTGCAGGCGGCAGTAGAACCTCAACTAAACATAAGGAGGCTTATAGTTGCGGTTAGAAGTACCCCTGAACCTCCAAGCAGCTTGCATGGAGGGTTTCCTCAACATCGGATCTGCCAGGCCAAGGTTGTGCGTCGTCGTTGATCGCCGAAAATTCGCCCTAAACGATCCTGAACGTATTTGAGTGAATGTGTGTGTGTCATGCAAACCCTAAACCCTAAACGAAAGCCTAAACCCTAAATCAGCTAGGCGGGTGGCAAAAATCCCTAAACCCTAAACCCTAAACCCTAAACCCTAAACCCTAAACCCTAAACCCTAAACCCTAAACCCTAAACCCTAAACCCTAAACCCTAAACCGTGACAGAGGAAGTGGCAGCCGCTTGAGTTCCTCCTCGTTGCCCCAGATCACCACGCCAAGCAGGAGTTCCGGGAGCTTCTGCTGGTCCGAGCCTTACGAAACACCAAGCGGTTTAGGGTTTAGGGTCTAGGGCTTGCGTGAGTGGCTGTCTTTGGGATGCTCCCCCTTGTACTAAGACTCCTTAGAATAGGGGGGGGGGGGTACTCCAATCCCTATTAAGGATTGTTAGTGTGAGGGGAACATCCCAAGGCTACTTCTTGTGTCGTTTGTTGTTCTCATCCTGTTTTCATGGAGCCCTGAGCAAAAGGCCCTAAACCCATGAGTCAATGAGGCCAAGATGGGAAGGTACCTGAAAGCCTGGAAGCGCATCTTGGACAAGGATGCAACAAACCGCTGCAACTGGTACGAGTTCCAGGCAGGGAACCCTGAACCCTAAACCCTAAACCCCAAACCCCAAACCCTAAACCCTAAACCCTCTGCAGGGTTGGGCTTCAGGGATACCAGGAAGGGTCTTTCCAGCGCAACTTGCTAGGAGCCGACGAGGGGCAGCGAAGCTTGAAACCTTCAACTCCAACCGCAAGCCTGCAAACCCTAAACCCCAAACCCTAAACCCTAAACCCTAAACCCTAGTGACCCGAAACGTGCACCTCGTATGCTAGTGAGATGTCCAAAGCGCAACACCCCCAGGCCCAGGCAAAAAACCCTCTAGGGGAAGATCCTCTGAGACCAGAGGGGATGGGCCTTCAGTGCTTCGTGTGGTCGGCTTTGTGTACCCTAAACCCTAAACCCTAAACCCTAAACCCTAAACCCTAAGTGCTTCTAGGCCGTCCCTCCTCCAGGATGCCTGCCGAGAGATTGGCTTCCGCGGGAACGTCGGTGGAGCCTGGCGGGCCTTTGACGAAGACCTCTCAGGTGCTCTGGGGGTTTTTTTGGGGGGTTTAGGGTTTAGGGTTTAGGGTTTAGGGTTTAGGGTTTTTGTTTTTCAAAACACCCCTAAACCCGAAACCCTAAACCCTAAACACTCCCAAAGCCCCTTCGAGAGCCCACAAAGGAAGCCAGGCCTTCTTACGCCCTTAGCTCCTCAGCCTTCAAATGCCCTGAGCCCTAAATGATGAAACCCTTCGAAAGCCGACATCCTGAAACCCTGAACCCCCTGTTAGGGTTTAGGGTTTAGGGCTAGGGTTTAGGGTTTAGGGTTTAGGGTTTAGGGTTTAGGGTTTAGGGTTTAGGGTTTAGGGTTTAGGGTTTAGGGTTTAGGGTTTAGGGTTTAGGGTTTAGGGTTTAGGGTTTTTGTTTTTGGGCTTTTGGGTTCTTTTGGGATTTAGGGTTTAGGGTTTAGGGGGGGGGGTTTCAGGTGCTCAAGGGGGGTTTTCGGGCTTTGTTGCTTTTGTGGTGTGAAGGGTCTGCGGGGTTTTCAGGGCTTTCGGGTTTGGGGCTTTAAAAGGCCTTAGCAGTCCTGGGTTAAAAAGGGCTCCGGGATTTGTAGGGGTTTAGGGTTTAGGGTTTAGGTTTCGGTGGCTTAAGGGCCTCGGGGTTGTGGGCTTCAAGGGGTTTGAAAGGCCTTGCTTCGGGTCTGACAAGATATGCCCTGCGCCCGGGGCCAGCAGGTTACATCACCTTAAAGGAGCTCGACGAGCAGGCGCAGAGCTGCAAATGATGTTGGGAAGTTTAGGGTTTAGGGTTTAGGGTTTAGTGTTTAGGGTTTAGGGTTTAGGGTTTAGGGTTTAGGGTTTAGGGCAGAGCTGAAGTCGAACAGCCAAAGGTCTAGGGCTCTGCTTTAGTTCTCCCTCAGAAAGTCCGCGTTGTGAGCCGTCCAACCCCACAGTTCCAAACCCAAGAGTCAAGGGGCTAAAGGAGTGACCCAAAACAACGCCCTTAGGGGTAATGTAGGGGCTACTTCTTAGGTATATAGGGACTAGATAAGGTCTATATGGCTGCTATAGAATTAGGGGTTATGTAGGGGAGTGAGATCTAAGGCTTCTTATATCCCTTATTCGATCATTATGTTACTATACTACTATATCCCTATATTGTCATACTATTGTACGAATATGTTACAATATGATTAAACTCTTATATTTTATTAAATGTACATCGTTATCCCTGAACTCACCCCGACCAAGGCATCCGCGGTGCTGCTGGGCTTTCGGCGCTGGGCCATTTATGAGCCGCTGGACAGCTCTCCGGGGAGGAAGGACTTTTTTTTTAGGACTTTCAGGATCCTGGAACTTCGAAGAGGGCTCGGATGAAGGTGGCTCGCAGCTTCAGTTTCAGAAGCCCCCCCCCCCCTCCCCCCCGCTCCCCACCCTCCTCCGAAATCTGCAACGCAGGGTTGGTGACTTCGGTGTTGCGGGTCTTTGGGGCTTAGGTCTAAGCGCTTGGAGGTTTGAGGGGTTCAGAGTTCTTCTTTGGCCCAGAACTGACTGTGAGAAGGCATGTTATAATAGTACTAGAAATAGTTGTAATATAGTAGTTTAGTAGTGGAAGTAATAAAGAAATACTAGTAGGCAATACTATTAAGTGTACTACTGGTAATCATACTCATAAATGCAATACTAGTCAGGCCCGACAATTGACAGATTCTGCACAATCCATTCGCCGAAGTCCCCCATCCCCTAAAGCCCTAAGCATATAGAAGTCCACAGCAGTGCAGAGACCTTGAAATCAGGTTTGGCTCCGTCCGGCAACTCTTCCACACCTTCGACAAGGATAAGTCCAACAGCCTCAGCGGCTCAGATCCCGCTTGAGGGGATGAGAAGAAGTTGCCCACAAACCCTAAACCCTAAACCAAAAACAACCCAAGCCCTAAGATGTGTACCAACTTAGCAGGGGGGTCGAAGGAGCTTGGTCTAGTTTGGGGACGCCTATCTCTCCTTTGCTTGTGCCCTACACCCTAAACCCTGAACCCGTAACCTCAATCATTCCCGAAGTTGTTGCCCTGCAGCGTGGCTGGTCTGCTTGGTGGGTGGCAAGACAACACTAAACCAGGCTCTAAACCCTAAACCCTAAACCCTAAACCCTAACCCTAAACCCTAAACCCTAAACCCTAAACCCTAAACCCTAAACCCTAAACCCTAAACTCTGCGCTGGAGGCTTCCTGGAATGGCGGGGAGCTCTGCGGGTGTATGGCACCTGGGATGCCATGGTGCCTTTGGGGGATAGGGTTGTAGGACCCCAAACCCTGAACCTAAATCCTTAGGCCCTAAGCCCTAAACCCTAAAAAAACAACTAAACCCCAAACCCTGAACCCTAAACACTAAAACCGAAACCCTAAACCCTGAACCCTCGTACCCCCTGGGTCTACGCTTCGCCGTGCGAAGGCAGTCGCATAGGCTTGGATGCAAAAAGGGTTGGGGAGCAATTCAAGCCATGCGTCAACAAGGGTTTCGGGGTTGCACGGGTTCCAGGCTCCTAAGTGGGCTCTTGCTTGTGGCTGAAGTGGTTTGGGTTTGGGGCCTTGGCCAGCAGTGGGGAACTCTGAACAGGCTTATGACGGGATCTAGCAAGCTTTGGGCTGCGCTGGGGTTTTTGATGGAGCACGCCTGCCACAACATGGCCGGTTTTTTTTTAATGAGTTGAGGTACCTACAAGCGGAACTTACCCCATCCCCCTATGCTGAATGCCTCTGTGCAGCTGAACTTAGGCTACGATGGACCGAGCAGGACGGATGCGTTAAAAGCTGGGGGGGGGGGGAAGCTGTAGCCCGCAGCTGCATGCATCATAAACCCTAAACCCAAAACCCTAAATCCTAAACCCTAAACCCTAGACCCTAAACCCTAAACCCTAAACCCTAAACCCTAATGAATCACAGTGCCCGGCTTTCAAAGCGTTTGCTCCTGATGGTCACATTCGGATTCCCTGCGGAGGGAGCTTTTCCAAGCCCTGGACGTGGACCAGGAGGGCACGCTGTCCATGAAAGAGGTCCCAGACTACTCCCCAAACCCCAAACCCTACACCCCAAACCCTAAACCCCAAACCTCAAACCCTAAACCCACCCCTGAGGGGCTCAGGGACCTGGGTCTCTTCACAAGCCGTCAACCCGTTCGAGGGGCATAAGGAGGGACCCTAGAAAGGCTCCGAAATCCTACACCCTAAACTCCCTAAACCCTAAACCCTAAACCTTAAAAAGTCCGTATATGCCTAAGTAGCCAATGCAGCCCCTGAGGTCTCTGAAAAGGGTCCCTCCTCTAGTCACTTGGGCTTCGGGTTTTTAGGGCTTCTGTTGGGTATTGAGTGTTGGGCTTTTGTTTAGGGTTTTTGGTTTTTGGGGGTTTTGAGGGTTTTGAGGTTTTTAGGGTTTAGGGTTTACGGTTTAGGGTTTAGGGTTTAGGGTTTACGGTTTGGGGCTTTTCAGGTGGACTTCTTGGATGACTGGGACCTGGACCTGGAAGAAGACCTTCCGGAGAACCAGAGCCGACGGCCCTCGAACCAACAGCGGCCGGCAAGCCCCGTCGCGCGGATGCCTGGGTTTAGGGTTTAGGGTTTAAACTTTAGGGTTTAGGGTTTAGGGCTGAGGGTTTAGGGTTCAGGGTTGAGGGTTTAAGGTTTAGGGCTACTTTGACCTACTGGTTCATTGGGAATTTGAGCGAAATAAGGCACCTTAAACTTGAGACCGAATACTGCTGGTTCTTAGTAGAAAATGAGGGAAATAGGTACCTTATGTCCCCATATATGGTTTGTTCCCAAGATGATGGTGAGCCCTAACGCCTAAAACCCTATAAGCCTACCCGCAAAACCCTAAACCGGACAGACCCGAGAAGACAAACTCCAACACACCAAACCCTGTAATTTGTGGATTGGTTGAGGACCAGGGAAGGGCATGGGAAGGGCAGCTAGGTTTAGGCTACAATGACAAACGCCGGCATATAGGGTGGCGGAAGACCCAAAACACCCCTAAACCCTAAACCCTAAACCCTAAACACTCCCAAAGCCCCTTCGAGAGCCCACAAAGGAAGCCAGGCCTTCTTACACCCTTAGCTCCTCAGCCTTCAAATGCCCTGAGTCCTAAATCCTGAAATCCTGAAACCCCCTGAAAGCCTAAACCCTGAAACCCTGAAACCCCTTCTGGGGTTTAGGGTTTGGGGTTTAGGGTTTAGGGTTTGGGGTTTAGGGTTTAGGGTAATTTAGGGTTTAAGCCCCTCGAAGCCCCTTGAAGTCGCGAAGCCCAGAAAACGTCGCGGCGTGGCTCGGCGGTGCAAACATCGGCCCGGCGCCTGTCCTTCGCTCGGCGCGCCTCCATGCAGGAAGCTGCGGCCTGGACCAACGAGGGTTTAGGGTTTAGGGTTTAGGGTTTAGGGTTTAGGGTTTAATTAGTAGGGTTTCGGGAGCGAGCCCTGGAGCAAAACGGGTCAGGGTTTAGCAGCAGTGGTCGAGTCCTGCAGCAACACATTGTTTAGGGTTTTTGAATAGAGGTGCCCTGAATGTACCCTGCACATGGTTGGTATCACCCATAGCCCCCTGAAATCCACATGCAGACTAGGCGCGGGGGATGTTCCAAGAGCACACATGGGGTTGTTCGATCATGCAGAAACCGTGCGAACCCAGAAGGTACATACCCCAATCACTCCCCACAAAGCCGATAGGAAATTATTTTGAACGGGCGGAGCGTCGGTTTCGCTTGCTTGAATTTTGGCTTGTTGTGTGTTTGTTTATTCGTGGGGTGCCAGGTTCTCTTCGTTTGACGGAGAAGCAACTGGCCACTTAGATTCAACTCCTTGGGGCATTATGCTTGGAGGCCCATGGGTAGTTGTAATTGAGAGTAGAGTTACTTAGGGCAATTATAGATACAGAGACAGCGCCGAGTGTAGTCACAACTGCTTCAAAACCTTAGACGGGAGTCTTACAAGAGGGATTTAGGCTTCCTTTCTGCATCGCACCTGCCCCCTCACAGGCGAGATCGCGTGCTGCAAAAGTGATGTCGGCATCGAACCTGAACCAGGACTGGTCCTAGCCGTGGATTGAGGGCGGAGGGCCAGCCTGCAAGCATCATTCATCGACGTAGCTGTGACCAAGCTCGAAGTTTTACGCTCGAAGCAGAACAACAGGAAGGACGAGCTGAGGGGCAGTAGCCACAGAAGCTGCAGCAGCAGGCGCCATACTTAGCAGTAACAGACAAAACTGCAACATCTACGAACACCACAGCCGCAACCCGAACGATGGCAATCTGGCTCTTGCAAGCGAACAAAGG